CCACCATTTACCTAGAAAGAATTCATTTTAATTTTTAAAGTTTTTGAACAGCGAAAGAATGCTCTTAGGCTCGTTCTTACGCAGAAACTCGTGCAATGGTGAGTTCAAGACTCATTACGGCAAGTGCCAGATCTGAATATAACAGGCTGCTCGCACGTTGCTTGAATTAAAATGCCTGACCTCTGATCAGCACGGCTTGAGCGAGTATATAAACTCACTTGGTCTGTCAAAATTCAGCAAGACTCCTCGTCAACGCTCTGTCCCAGAGGTATTTGCCGGGCACTTGCAAATCATCCTCCATACTTTGGCATCTATCTAATGTTTTGCGCTGAATTGCTCATTTGGATGAAATAGGAAATGGGATCAATTTGGCAGGGTGATTGGTACAGATAAGATTTGCGAATGGGCATAACTGAATTTACACACACATTAGGCTTTGATTTCCACAGAAACCAAATTTCGGCAGGCTGACCTGTTGGAATTCCATCTTGCCGACATATGGCTCTGATCATTATTTGGTCACTTGACTTCAAAAATAACTTGCAGAGTTTTGGCTAATCTGTCACTGTGAGCACAATTCAACAGATAGAAGAAATGCTAGGTAACGAATCAAAGTTTCGCTGAAAAGTCATACCTTCTAGTCAGTCATGCGGGCACTACATGCTTACGACGTTACATTTATTCCATTTCACATATCTTGCTAAATGCAACCAGAATCGGAGTTAATTTAATTGATGTTGCCAAGTAGACAGATCACCGTCAAACACAGCACCAGTCCATTTATCAGGTCGTGCATGCAGTAATCAATTACCATTTAGCACACAATTTCCACATTGTTTGACCTACTGAACTATTTTTTCATCCTTCACAGTCTTAGCCAATTGAACAAGGATTTATGTCGACGTGAGTAGACAGACATTTGTTATTATTAAAACGATTTTATAGAAACTACTTAAACACCCGCGAACGACGCTATTGTAACTTGAAATGGACTTCTAAATTGCTGGAAACGGACCAACAACTCTGACCTATACCATACGGTTAACTTCTACTTCGGCGTACTCAGTAGTCCCGTGAATGTTGCTGCCAGTGACAAAGGAATCATGCGTGATTGAGTTCATCAGGGCATGTGGTGCTGAACATCTGAAATTCAACTGAGACGAATGGCACATCTATATAAACTCCCTAGTCCACATCACATTTACAATTGGTTTTATTGTGATGTGGCCGGCGTTGTACCTTCTCATAGTTCCCATAATCTGCGTTTTTGGAGGGGCACCCACTAACTCAGGTTTGTGTCTCATATCTTGCACTTCATTCACGCACGTTCAAATTTAGTGATGGCACGCGTTCGATTGTAAAGACGTGTCATTGTTTGCAATGTTGTTTTATGCATTTAATTTCCTTTGTGTAATTTTGTTTCACGCGTTCGGATTGTCAAGACATGTTGCGTGTACAATGTTGGTTTGTGTTTATGATTTAGAAGAAGCAGGAAGCAGGAGAGAAGATATTAGTGAAAACACCTCAGCTTGGGTTATTGGAAACGTGACAAGAAAAATACAACAATGCATGACAAGACAATTTTGTTTTGATGGAACTAGGCTCTTTAGCATCATAGGAAGTGGCAATGGTGCATGGGAAGGCAGAATACTTTCCATTAAGGCCAGTTCACTTCCTGGCAGATCACCGGTGTACTCCCTTGAGTTGACAAATAACTACGTGCAGCTTACCTTCAACCAATGCACCTTAGTAAGTATGTCATTGTTGTCTTCTAGTGATCCTGGCTCGGCATCTGTTTTCTTCTTCTGTTAGCTGCATTTTTGCGATCTACTGCCCTAAAAGCTTTTACCAAATATTGTTTACCCACAAGACCCTTTAATTGCCACCCTCGAGTTTTCCGTCTTCCGAAGTGTGGCAAACAAGTGGCTTTAATATGTACTTTACAGTTTGACAATGAGGGAAAACCTACGGTGATCTTGGCGCCAATCCGCATCACCAACTTTCGTATGCAGCTGGATGTCCAACATGCTTCGGCTTACAGATACGCCATCAGCAACAGCCGAGGCCTCTCCTCTAGAGTGATTGCCTTCCCGATAAATTCAAATTACCCAAACGCCAGAACAATTTACCGCTTACTTAAATTTTTCTTAGATGATTTTTGTTGACATATTTTTGCTCAAATCGTGCCTACTTTGTGACTACGATGAAGTTAACTGCCTTTAACTAACTGATGTTTTTATGTGTCTAAATTCAAGAAGCGTGATAGCGAAAGCATGTTGAACGGTCTTCACATTGAAATACTACGTGAAAAAGGCCCAACGTTAACTTGAGTGCCCATCAGTATATTCGAAATTGGCTTAGCAAATTGTGCTGTGTCGTTCGAGTGGCTTTCTGAGCTTTCAGATAGAAGCTGATGGCTTATATTTTCGATTTTGGTAAATCATTTCTTGACGGTTTTGTGAGGTTGCGGTTTTGTATTGATGGATACATTAAGGATGACGCTTAAGAAAGCGAGCAAATAAAACGCCAGCAAGGCACAATGTTGCAGGTTGATAGGAATGCGGCAGCCACTAGAGCATGAACAAGGTTTCAAGTGACGGCGTGTGTGGATTGGGTATATATTGTGCCTTGCACTCACGCCAAACGTCATGCATGCTGGCTATGCTACCGTTATTTTGACTATCAAGTTTCGAGAATAAGCACTTCATTGGTCTGTTTGACTGTAATTTGCACTTGTACTTATTTCTGCTGGTAATAGCTAATTGTGCTTGTTTGCTTATCTGCTCACACCGTAATGAATGAAAAAGAAGTCAAACTCTGTCTTAGGTAAATTCACTACCGAAGGATGCGGCACTATCGTATTAGGTGTTTCTGAGCTCTCAATTTCAATAAACAAACGTATTTACAAGCAGTTTAGATTTAGCAGCAACTGCAAACTGAACTGTTTGCTTAATTTCAGTTAACACTCATTACAATCTTTCGGTTTTGTTTAATAATATCTCCTGATTTGACGTTTGGGAATATGCATTACACGTATGGAGCTGCTAATGGGCGTTCAACGTGACAAATCTTTTTGAGATTAGTTTAGTAATTTTCCAAACCAATAACACTAAATTCAAGAAGCCATAATTGAATTCACGGAAAAAGAACATTCAGAAAATGTTGGACGGATGTTCCTTTCCACCAGTTAACTAAGACCATTTTGAATCGTAGCAACGCAACCACAAATAGTCGCCAGTCGAAAATCACATCTTACTTGAAACCTGTCGGTTTTTGGGTGGTTCTTAGCCTGGTTAAGCTGCACATCGCAAATTATTTTTGACTGTCTTCGTCCCACCGCCTTGGTGAATTATTTGTGTTAGGGAAGGGCAGTGATATGTGTTTGTGATTGTCTATGCAGGCTAGCCAAATACTCTAATAATGAGAGCGTGTTTCGAAATGATGGAATCGCGTAACCCTTATTGACCGTTCAATGATTCCCACAAACACAACCAAACTGTTTTCACACTTGATAAAAATTTGAAGTCAAACATGTGGTCCTTCTGTCGGTCTGTATTCAACAGCACAAACTGGCCCTTTTTTTGGTCGACATCATATGAAACTACAGTAGTCTTTGAGACTCGAAAGCTAGTAAATTCTGAACACGTGTTAATTTTATTTTGAGGCTTTATGTGTTAACTGAGGCCAGCAAATGCAAAAATGCGAAAAGATTATTAAAATGTTCTAGTTATTTCAAAGTAAGTTTATAGGGAACGCTCAACCGTAATTTACAATTATAGGTATATTCGTTAGCCCTTCAAAAATCCTTCTTTATTGCATGATGAATACGAATAAACCTTGAGTCAAAGTGGGTCTTTTGTAAACAAAGACACTTACTTTTTTCGCCTATCTAAAACAGGATTGCACCTAAATTTTACATAAAAGTGGCACTTCTAGGGGTGATTACACTTTCAGATCTCTAGCTAAAGTTTTAAACTAATTTTCTGGATTTAATTTTTGATATTGCAGTTTACATCCTCTTTTGCATAAGATTCTACAGATTTGTAATAAGTAAGCTACAGTAGATACTTAATATTCGATTTATTCGGGTTTTGAGGAACAAATTATATATATTATTCTAGGGACTTCATGAGTCATTCACTACTCCATCATATAATAACTGATAGATTATACTTGATATTTAAAAAAATGTTTTATCTAAATTAACAACTGCATTGACATCATGTACAAAAGTAACCATTTCAATTTTAGGCATGATATAATCCTAATGTTTTGTTTTAGTCACTAGCGCTTTCAATTATCGGAAACACGTTACGGTAGAAAATGCCTGGTGCTGTCGCCCAAAAAACATCTATCGGTCAAGTATTATTCTTTTTAATATTAACAAAATAGTGGCAAAAAACATTTCCACTGCAAATTAGCACAGAAACTTTGTCGCTTGTTTTTGTGAAAAAGTTATTTGCCGTAGCCGTCTCGAATGTTGCTTTTGTCAGGAAATTATTCCCCGATCATGCATTCTTCGACAAAAATCTTGAAGGTGCGTGGTTTTGCAAGGCCCTAGATTTTAATAGGTTTAAACCTTAAAATTCTCAAGGAGGAGGCTTCGTGTCCCGGAACCTGCAAAGTTGTTTTTTGGCTTCGGGGTTGTTTTGATGCGATAGAGAAAAAATACGTGAGTTAACTACTTTATTATTTTGTTTTAGTTGCGAAAAGCCACACTAGCACTGTATGAAGACCCAAATGATCCTAAGGTTTTATTTCCTTTCTGGGTTAAATTTCGAATTTAGACTATTTCTGAGTCATTTTCATTCACTTTTAAGTATGATGGCGTAGAGGGTGCTGCAATGGAATTTGAAGTGGGCAGGTTGGTGTCCATTATTATTTTAATATATAATCTAAGGAGCTCTGACTCAGAAAATCCCACAGCACACCTTTTAAGAGATGAAAGAATAAAAACTCAAACAAAGAGTTTGCTTAACACGATTTTGGCAGCCGGCAAGATGCTTGGACCCCTACCGAAGAAAATGATGCTCACAATGAAACTGCAATATTATGACTGTAAGCAATCAATTGTTAGCTTTTCTATATGAAGCCTAGCTGCCTAAATTAAAATCGTTTCGGTGATCATGATTGAGCTTTAATTTTGCTGGATTTAACTAAATTCAAGCCCGTGTGTATTGTTATTGTTGAAAAACCTAACTATGCTGTTGTTATGATTGTCGAATAGCTCAGCAGTTGGGCTAGATAGTTGTCATCATGCCTTGTAACGTGGTACCATACTTACTAAATCCGCATACATTTTGTTGATTCAAATTTAACCAACCCGTCTAACGATGATTGAGGACGTTGTGCGGCTATGTAGCAAGGCTGTTTACTGGGGTTTGGGTTATATACCTTGTTACTAATTCTCATAACCTGAGGTTATTGTGTGCTTATTTTTCCGTGTTTTGATTACGAAAGGATTGTGGTATTGTGCTTCAAATTATCATGCTCCCGTTTCTTTACTTTCTTTAATTCCAATTAACACTATATGACTCGGGCATATTTTATAGCTTTTTTTAATTCACATTTAGCTGCTCCAAGCGACTACATGCCAAATGGATTTAAAGTTGATGAGAATCCACAAATGGTATTTGAAAGTGGACCCGTAAATCTTAAGGTTGGATTGATTAATACGGTATGTTCTCGTGCTTGCTAATTTTTCCTAGGATTTTCACAGGTAATTTGGTCTTCGGTTTAGTTACGTTTCAGCATGCGCATGCTCGTTCATGCGTCGCCTAGCCTAATTATCGCACCGCCTGAAAAATTGAAGTCAGCATTAGAAGTTTCAAAGGTAAGGTTGATTTTTACTATGATGCCATGTTCAGCACACTGTACCAAAAATGGGATTGGTAGTTTGGTTTTGTACCTCGTTTGTTTAAACAGGAATAATTATTGTGCACTCCCATAGGCATGGTTTTGATATCATTGACCTAAATTAACTTCGAAACATGGGTCATATTGTCATTTAGTGCTTATACCGCAACAAATAAGATTTTTGAGCAAATGATTCTTTATTTTTGTTTTTAAAAAATTGAGATAATTGTCTTTATTAAGTCAAAGGATGGCGGACAAAACTTTCCTGGAATAACGATTAAAAGTTCCAACATCTGCCATACTCCACACTCATCCTGTCAACAGACGCAGCCGGAATTGGAGGAACAAGCTGAGGAAAATTTTGAAGTCGCCTGTCCCTGTGGTGTCAACTGCGTAGGATTCGTCTTTTATTGTATTTTTCGTGTATTCAGGATGATGGTGTTATGATTCTATGTGATGGTTGTGAAAAGTGGCAACACGCAGTTTGCTTTCGAATTATTGATGATTCAGATATTCCGAAGTCTCACCTGTGCAATATCTGCGCTGAAACGAAGGTAATTTGATGCACATATATGCTACTTTGTGCTTTGTAACTTGGGAGCTAACGCCTTTGATTTTAGCCTGAGCTACTCGAATCAGGAAGCAAAACGGATCAGACTCTGACTGGGCTTACCGAAGAACAAGCTAAAGTAAGTAATTTACGTAGATTATCCATGCATAGCAAAGTTTATTTTGAGGGATTTTTCATTGCTAATAATTACCAAAATCCATCTAATTATTCAAAACTAAGCTTACAGTTGATGTTGATATCATTAAATTGGTTGTATACTAGAATTGGGTACTTGGATATAAGAAGCCATGTAAACGTTGAAAGCGTGTTTCTTTTTCAGTCAGTTTGCCTGTTTCGTCGTGCCGTGCTTTTATGTGTCGACAATGACCTCCTCTCGGTTGGAATTATTTCGAAGCGCCTTTCAATTGAAACAAATATCGCCCGAGGGCTTCTAAACAGACTGCAAGACGAAGGTGCTGTTAAAGACGTTCGTGGTAGGGGGTATGGTTTACTCGCGTTTGCTTTTTTCACACTCATTTTCCTCAATAATAAAACGCCTCTTGCACTTAAGCGGTAACAAGGCCGTTTTGAAGGCTCATGTTGAGGCCATTCTGTTGCCACGTTTCTTCTCCCTCTCTACTGAGTCTCACAACGTCCAGGTAACAAGCGATTTTGTTCCTCTTGACTTTCGGCCAACTGTATTTATTATTGTTCGAATTGCCTTACAGGATGAAGCAAAACAGTTGGGAAAACGTGCTGCGGCTACAAAGGGGAAGCGCGGCGGTGGTACATCCGAGGTAAGCAGAGATCTGGAGCTTTTATAACTAGGTGCTCTCCTTAATATGCTAACTTGTCCAACGTAATTATTGCCCGTTCTAGATGAGTAGTCTCGCTTCGGCTACTGAAGATTTGCAAATTGGGAACGAAATTAGCGTAAGATAAATTTTAATCGTTTAAGATTATCATTGTTGCCTTGGGCTTCATTCTGATTTCCTGTGTTCATCGTTATTTTCGTATCCGCAAGTACAGGACACTTAGAATTAATCTTGAGTTGGGACATTTTTGAGGCATACTTTTGCAACTTGACCCGATTTTAAATGCCGTTTCCACAATCCAGTTATTCTGTGCTTCTATTCAGATCCTCAGTCAAGAATCCACCGATTCCCCGAGACCAAGCAAAAGGCGCCGCACCTACAACACGGTCAACACGCCTATACCAGTGGCTCCTCATTGAATATTTTTTTCTCCTTTTGTATGCCGATTTTGTCTTTTGTAGTTATTTGGCGCTTTCTATCGTTTTTTACTTGTTTGTTCATAATTGCTATTGGCAATTTTTTTTAATATAACCACAATCTGTGGTACCTAATAGAATGCTTTGTAAATACCGTTGTGAATTTGCTCCTGGGCCTTCTATTTATGCTAATAACTATGCTATTGTGATGTTTGTTTTCAGTCGCCTTGAACTAGGCAAAATTGAGGTCGTTTTTTAGACCTCACACCAGTGTGTAATGCAACACAGTGCGGAATTTTGTAATAGTCTCCTGGTTGAGTCACTTTCATCGCCCCCATTATCTGCGGGATCTTAGATTCACCTAGCATTGACTAAACGCAGGAACATCAAATATAAATTTAAAAATGTTGAGGTAAGGTCATTGAGACCGTGGTATAAGGTGTGATAAAGTGTGTTCAGTGTCTGAAGAACTGAATGTCCAAGAGAGACGTTTGTGGGACGCGGATGTCGTGGCATCTAAAAGTTGGCAGCGCTTGCTTGGAATGTTGATATTATGCGACGGAGAGAATGTGGTTTTAATGCAACATGAATGAACGGAGTAATTAGAGAACAGTCGCCTACGAACAGGTTGCAACATGACAAAGTTTTCATTCCGAAAATCAAAAATGACATCTCATAAAAATCATCGGCTAGTCAGGCTGCGTAACCGCGATGTGCAGTTTTACGAATAGAGGACGTAATGTCCTGATCCACTTGTGATGCATCCGTACTCCTCTTAGCGAATCATAATTTAAATCCAATAAACGCCGTTTCAATGACTGTGTGGACAGAAATCCAGTCTTGTTACTAAATTCAGGCTACCGTAATACGGTAATTTGCAAGCTGTGGGCCCAACTTACGAATAAACTAAGTTGGGCTAATAAGCAATGTGCCTTAAGACGTCGCAATCAGACTTCACATCCTTGCTTAACCTTACAAACTTCGTGGTGGCTTATTTGCGGTTTCGATGTATGCCGAGGTTGCAACACCACAGCACCGTTGACCTATGATAAGTACGGACAGTCCCCACGGAAAGCAAGTTTTCTGGGTCGTTTGTTGTGACATCAAAAATATGCTTTTTGGGTAACAAATCCCCGATGTGTAATCTATATGGACCATTATTAAGCGTCCTAATGACGGCAACTGCCGTTGATAATGATGCTGCCAATCTGACATGGTGGCGATTTGAAAGTGGAGCAAAGTCGCTGTGTGCTACTTACTACCAGCCAAACTCCATGAAGTCATAATTTGGTGCCTCAAATGCAAATTTAAAGCGCTGCTGATGGGGTACTAAGCTGTGTTAAACGCTGAGCTGATGTTCTTGAGTATTCAATGTGCAAAATATGGGTATGAAAGCATGAAGACAGAAGCCCAGATGCAGAAGACGGACCTTTTGACGTCAGTTATTGCTACTGCGAACATACTTAGCTTTTGAGGACAATTTTTGAAGAGCGGTACGGTTCGTAGGTCTAACGAAAGTACTTCAATTAAGCATAATATTTCCAAAACACAGACCTAGTCTCATCTATGTTACGGCGGATAGATTTTTAGGCCTTCAGGCCTTAACAATAATAAAAGCAAGGCTTGGATTTAGACAAAACGACAATTGCCGGCGAAATCTGTCTCGTTGATAAGTTTTAAGCCAAAGTGATACATTTATCAGCATTGATTCAATTGTTGGTACTTAAAAGCACAAGAACATGGCGTTAAAGCAAACTGACTTCTGACCAATTACTCTAAAATTTGTAAAAAAGTTGTCAATGATGAAGATGTCCTCCTTTACTTTGCAGCTGGGGCGAGGATGGGGACGTTAACCTGGAAGCCAGAAGGACCCATAGGCACGTTGGAAACTCCACCAGGACCAAGCATCATCGATCTATGTTCAAGTGCCTCCTGCTCCTCCATCTGGTTTCTCTCCAGTTCCAACATCAGAGGGAACAGACAGATGGTTGAGGTACTTGCTACGAACCATGCAATGGAGCGGCTCAACGAGTACGCACCACTCAGTACCTTGATTGAGTGATCAAATGCGGCCGAAGTGCCATTGCGCAGCCAATCGGGGAACATCTCGGTAAGACCGATTAATCGTTCAATGATCGTCTCGTCTTCAAAGTCCGAGTCGTCGTCGTCATCTTCGTCGTAGCCTCGTGAAACCTCATCGACTGTCAACGTTCGAATACCAGTAGGGGCAGTGGGAGGGGATGATTGAGTGAGAACTGATGACGCCTCCAAGACTGGCTCTGAAGGCGCTTCGTCTGACAAGACATCCACCTAGGAAAATTAAATTTTAATGACACAAGTATCCATACATCATATTACGACAAAGAAGTGGTCGTAAACATAGAACTCTGTCAAATAAGTGAACTGACAAAGTTAAATGCTAGGAATCAACATTTAAGGTGCCCTTCGTAGAGATGATTGCCAGCAAGAAAGGGATGAAACGACTTACCGGTTGTGGCACTCCAACCGACGACAGTGTAAACTTAGCAAATAACATAGATATAAAACTACTTTAGAGAATCAATTAATTGATGCACAAAACCATTCACATAAATCAAATGATTTAATTATGGAAATTACTCGTTAGGATTAAAACCAGCCGTTGTACAGATTTCGTGAGATCTTATAAAAGAAACGATTAGTCATAATCAGGCTTCTGTTGTTCATATTACATGAGGACACCCGACCGACAACCTAGTTCAAGTGGTAGACGTCACCAATAAAACAATTAGAAGACGCAAGAAAGGAAGACGTTAATTAATTTAAAGATGGGTGTAAATATCAACACTAATTCAAACTGAAACGCACAAGAAAAGGTCATACCATAAATTTAATAGAAGCAACCAAGTTGAAAGCAATTCAAAGTTACTCAGTCACATTTTTTTGTTTCGTACGCACGCAGAGCAAATAAGCATGTTTGGGTTTGGTTTCATTTAGACTGTGCAAATTATTTAAAACACTTTACTAGCCTTTTATAGGTCAAAATTTCATGAATGTTTAGTCAGAACCTACCGCTGAATTTGGCAACTGCAAATCGCAAATATCTTCGGGGCTTTAAAATTTACTTTGACTACACTTTTTAACCTGCCACGCAGCTACAATGTCATAAGATCCACGCATTAGAGGCAAACGTAACTTATTTTAAGGCCACACATATGTCCACGCTTTAAATCTGAGGAAAGATAAAACCGATTATTATGGGAAGAGACCTTGAAACATATCTAGATAACAACAAGTGTTTGAATAAAAAGAGTTAGGAACAGGTACAAGAATAAACCAAGGGAATAACAATACCTGAATGAAGTCATCGTTTAACCTCTCGGAGCACATGACCACAAAACGAACAGTCAGGCTAGTGCGTCGAAAAGGATGTTAAAAGTTGACCAATCATAAATTAATTTTAGGAATGTAGTTAAAAGAGAAAATGTTTCTGCATATTCATTGATAAAAAAGACAATTATCAATGGATTTCAAAAAAAAACATTTGCTGAGGGAAAACCCGCCTTAAAAAGATGACATATTTAGGATATTATCAGAGATAATGAGAAATAGATCAACAGCTTTTTTTAGAAAAATCGAAAAAAAAATACTTAAAACAATATTTAAGAGTACAAAAATATTCAGCGTTAGAGGAGTTTTTCAGAAATTAAACTCACATAATGGATGACAAATCCATATTTTATGTGATCATCTTGTGAATATTTTGGCTGGACTAAAGATTTAATTTAAAAAAAAGATTTGTCTATGAAAAGCTATAAAAAATGTTAAAAACAAAAATAAATCGTGTTTGCGATGTAAAAAATTTATTGCCTTTTTTTAAATTTCGCTTTAGAGAAAATGAAAATGAAATATGATCTTAAATAATCGTTGAATTTTGAGAGTTCAGGTAAATATTTTTTCCAATCAAAAAACATTTTTTACTCTCGCTTTTCTGTTAGTCTTAAAACTTAAAGGTGTTTGTGATTAGTCCCCAAAGTTATTTTATAAACATGTGAATAGATTTCAAAAACCACTTCTCTGAATTTCTAGTCTTCACCCAACACCATCGTCATTGAAGGCAAAATCCATTTCCCATGAACATTTTTCTTAAAGCGCTGTTTTGCTTTACCATTTGTGATTTTAAAATAGTTTTAAATAATTTTTTGGCACCATAGAAGAAAGGAATGGCTGCGTCTTGTGTCAAAATTTGATAAACCCATATATTTATTTGGAAGCTTGACTCGATATCCTCATCGAACAAAATCCAGTCAGCTTGTCAGTTTTTAAATAATACATATGAAGCTGACATTTTATAAAGTATTTTCAACCTGATACGAGCACGCAGGATGAGGTTTATCATTTTGCTTAAAGATGTCAGCTGTTGAATTGTAATACTAACGGTAATGCGATCGCAGTAACGTAATAATTCTGATTCAAATGATAAAAGTGAACTTATAAGGTGAATATTTTTGTTTCTCACTTTAATCACTATTAAACATTTGTTGCTTCTAAGAATTTCAAGTCTAGAAGGTTTATTTTCGAATTAATTCCTAATGGCAAATTTTTGGATCTCTAATTGTCTGTGTTTGAGGTTTTACTGCCGATAACTCAAACCTTTAGTAATACAAGCCATAGGAACTTGCTTTTGACAAATTTAAGAGCTTTTTAATGTAGTCTTAATTGTTAGTCAAGGTATCGACGTCATCTTTTCTAAGACACAATTTTTGGGCTTTCGTTGTAATATCCAAGATACCATTATCAGCAATTATTGAAAAAGTTCAATTATTATGCATCCATCCATTATAATAGGCCAAGCGATCGTTTAACTAGCGAGGTAGGCAGAAACATTGTTTTTGGCCCCGGCATGTGAAATTAAACCATGCATGTGTGCAGTGATTTGGATTTGGCCCGATTAAGCTACTATGATTCCAAAAATGATGAAGAAGACCGAGAGGACGTGGAAAGAACCATTTATTTCTGACCTTAAGCACATTGGTGTTGTTATGTTGTGTGTGGCGTTTGTGATGTGTGTTTATACCTCAGATGTGTGAGATAACGTGAGTCATAAATGTGCTTAAATCGAGACATATTTGTAAGAACAACCGTTCGCTCTAATGAGGGAATGCTAAAGTTCCGTTCGTCCACACACAAACTACCTCTACTCTCACTATATTTGCCCTTTAAAGAAGCCAAAAAGGCTTGTGGTAGCAACACTTTAATATGTCATAATGCTCGCCTTCTGCATAAACTTCGGTTCTTGGTTCATAATCTACAACATATTTTGCAACTTCTGATATGTACTAGGCATTAGCAAGCAATCTAAATCAAAAAGTGGCTGTGAATCTTAATGCAGCAACATCGGAAGGTCCCACAACGGCAATATAGTTACGATGAATTAAAAATAACATAAGCCCAAAACTGTCTAAGTCAAATACAATGCACATCATAGCCACAAAACACACATGTGATGGTGGTTTTATGCTAAAACGAGGCACAATAAGAAGGTTAAATAGCTGCTTTAATGTCTCTCAGTTGTAATATAAAACTTCTGTATATCAGGAACTACTAAAGATCATTCTTTAAAGCCTACCAATAACAAAATCTTTTAAATCTAGTTTTTTTTAAAAAAACTTTGTTTATAATAAATTTGGCGCCATTATTTCGCAATCTTAATTCAAAAAGGCCAAAAAATGCTTTACGATGCCAAATATATCCACACAGGTTCTGCATTCAGATATGTTTTACGAAGTATTTGGAATAAACTGGCCAATCATCATTTTCCCAAATTTGACTTTTAAGGTACTTGCCAGGTACTAGATTAATCTATTTTATAGGAAATACCTGTGGTAAAATTGCCCAACGGAAACTGACATATACGAGTTACAAATGTGCAGCAGGAACTGAAACACCCTAGATTCCTCACTCGATATTAGAATTGGGTAAATGGCATAAAATAAGAAATTTTAAATGACCAGTAATCACACAAACACATGCAAACATTATTAATAATAGTATCTTTCTTTAGCAGTCACCTAGTATAATGCGACCCTACCTAATGTTTAGCATTGGTTTTCAACTGGTACATTCAAACAAGGGCAGGATGGCGATTGGAAGTTGCTTGCAATTACTTCTGGTTAACCATTGGCTAATGTTCGCTGGTGTGCGGGGGATGTAGTCGGCGATGTCAATCGCTCGCATTTCGTGTTTACGTTTGTGTCATGGAATCAGACAGGAATATTCGTGTATGGGTTGATGGGTGGTATGTCACTTGCATCATGTTTCAGCCCTATTATATAGTTTTGACATGGTTCATTTCGGACACGCTAACCTTGTTCGACAGGTTTGCTTACTGACTTTCACTTGTTACTGATACTTTAGGCGAAATCATTAGGTCACTATCTGATTGCTGGCATCCATAGTGACGGTATACCGCCTTCAATTTTAATATTTCCTAGAAGAGATATCCAGACACAAGGGACCACCTGTTTTTTCACAGGAGGAGCGATATATACTGCTGAAAGCTCTTAAGTGGGTTGATGAGGTACTGTATTCTTTCAGTATTAGAGTCTAATTTGAGTCCAGATGCAGTTTACACGTTTCTTTTTTAGGTTGTGAAAGATGCCCCATATATGACACAACTTGAGGTGCTGGAAAAATATGACTGCGATTTCTGTGTTCATGGGGGTAAGATGAATTGCAAAATAATATTAAATAGTGCAAAGTTGGCGTGTTTACTGCATCCTTTATTCAACTTACGGCTATTGTGTGCATGTCTTTCTCATTTTATCTCAGGTGCCTTTACCCTTTATTCATAGATGATTCTTTGCTTCAGTGTCATGGTTTCGGACTCTAATAGAATTTTATTTTTTGTTTTAATTTATGCTTATTCTCAGACGATATCTCAGTCACCGAAGATGGCGTAGATGCCTATGAAATCGTGAAGAAGGCTGGTAAATATGTGTAGGTTGGAATGTCTTTTTCTATTTTTTAACGCCTTCGAAATTTGTAATTTTCGATTGTTGGTTTGTTTTGGTTTGATAGTACTCAGTGCATCTCTTGATTTCTTTTTATATTAATTTCAGGGAAGTTAGTCGAACAGAAGGTATATCAACAACCGATCTCCTTTATCGGTAAGCAACACTTTCCTCATCTTTTCTTGTTGAGCACACGTATTTGGGTATTTACAAATGTACCGAATCACCAGTATGTAAATATTATTTTCAAGGTTGTGCCACATTTTCTAAGTGTTTGCAGTCTAGGAAATCACTTTCCCTTTTGCCACTTGCTTTGTACTCTTGTCACTGTATCATTAATTACTTTCATTTAAGACTGTGAGACCTCACTCACATTTTCCGAAAGTCAAGTGTTCGGTTTTTCAAAACTTATCACCTGTTAAATGTTAGGAGCTGTAGTAGGTAACCAACCAATGGTTTCAAGTTGACATTTCATAAAGTTGTGATTTTGCCTAAGTGTAATTCAAATGCACTTTTTTCTAACACCTAAAAAGGCATTGCGAGTTGTAAATCTGAAGTAATGTAATGACTTTATGCATTTCCACCACTTGTAAAGTTATTTTTGACTGTAGCATTAGACATGTCATTCAAAAAATTTCACAAAATCATTAACTTTCGCCAGCCACTTTTTCTCAAATCCGTTTTTTGTCTGTCATGAATATGAATTATGAAATTTCCTATATTAGTAGCTACACCTTGAGTCAGTTGCACTTGAGGTTTTCAAATTCATGACCCTAACGTCTTAGATAGGGCATGGCAGAGCCGTCGTTGACTTAATTGAGTCCATGTCTGGTTAGACGGTCAGCCGCCCGTCTGTGTAGCTATTCAAGGATTATTTAATTATACCATTTCTGCCTCAAACAAATGACAACGCAATCTCTTTTTCAATCGTCTCGCCTTTGTAACCGTGTTAGTGTGTCAGTTAGCCACGTGAAAGTGTATTTTCTTCACCCCGCAATGTGTGAATAAGCTTGATTCGTATAAATTATTCATCCTCTTCGCGTTACCTCGCTACCTCCTTGGGTCGACTTCCTCACTAAGTGTATAAGCACTCGCAATAATTGCTTTGAACGAGTTAGGTCACATTCAATCTAAAAGACAAGGTGAGTTGCGTGGTTTGAAACCCGACGTATGACAAAGAAAATGCTGGGTGCCTACGACATTTGTGTAATAAAATTAAAATAACTCGTAAAGGTTAGTCACTACTTTGTCTTCTGTCTACGTCACACGCTCTCTTTGATACAAAGTTGTCAAAAAAAAATAATTTCCCAGAGATCATTACATTATCACACAAACTGTCCACTGCGTTTATTTTATGGTTTTTTTGGTCAGTTTTGGTAGAACAGATCATGGAGGTTCGCGTAGGTGTGCGTGTGTGTGTGGTAGATTCGTTGAATTGTTTTAGGTCAGTAATGCCTCACCGTAGTTGTCTTTAGTGGTGAAGGTTCGCATTGTATGGGCGGACTGATGGTCGATTTGGCTTTTCTTAAACAGTTGTGAAGTGCAGGGAACATGAAGTGGGGCGAGAGAGGGCACTCTCTGTTGAATCTCGTGCCAGTGATGGGATGCGACTGAATAATCCCCGATTCTGAAATAAGTAGAAAAAGAGGGCAGATGAATACCATGCCACCTGGGTTAGGCGACCTTAACTGAAGTTATTCGTGGATATGCGAGACGTGCTGAGAATTGCCTGCGTCTTCAGATCACAACAAATGAACCATCTAACCAATTATGAACAGGTGTCACGCTCTGGCATTAAAAAGTGCAGTTTCGAAGCGAAACTCGAAGGTTTTGGGAAGGAACTCAGTCAAACTCGCTGTCACGTGCGTTCCTTGACCCATGCAGCCGTGTTTTGTCGTAGAAAACAGCTTTCTTTTTGGAAAGCTAGTTGCTAGTTGCTTCACGACCCGTTTGATTGCTAATCCAGGCCCAAATCCAATCTGCTTTAGAATGAAGTATTCGCAGTGTGTGCGTTAGATGCCCAATTCCACTCCCATTTACCCTATTAATTAGTCTGCTTGGTTACTCATTGCTATTGTCACCTTTTCACAGGATCCTACGAGCCATCAAACGTGCCAAATCGGTGGAATTGGGAGTCGAGAGTGGCGTTCAAGTGAGTACACCTGTGTGTGTGATTTCTTTCATGGTGACGTTTTGCACGAACTGGCCACAGAAATGCTAGACTCGGTCTCCGCATCTCCCCCTCGTCAGTGGACTGTGTTTGTATGTGTGGAACTCAGGCTTAACAAAGAATCCCCCCTATTATTGGAAGTCGCCTCTGTCCACGAACCTTTGTAAGGTTTAATTTTCTCAACATTAAGAGCGCTGATTACGTGGTTGGAGGCTTTGTCAGTTTATCGCCTAGTTGGGGCCTTCCGCTTTGAACAAGGGATCTCACAAGATGCCTTTGGTTAGGAAAGTCGTTCAGGTGTCTTTTCGAAGGCTCTTACGTAAAGCCTGTCAGAACAACTATCTAGTAATGAGTGGTTGTTTTGGAGTGCACACGTGTCGCTTCTCAACAAGGTTTGTTCGGTTATAACCGACGATACGAAAGTGAGTTAACACGCTTGAAGCCGTGCACGCAGCAGCTTGAGAGGAATCGAGAGCGTGATCGTAAGCTGCTAAAAAAAGACGAAAAGCCATCCACAACGTCACAATGGGTGTGTGCGTGTCTAAAGGGGAGGTCTATTTGAATCGACAGCCATGGCAGCCTGAGCGATACCTAGAATGATCCGGTGACCTTCACCGTGTACTCACGTCTTTGGCACAGAGCTCTGACGTGTTTTCAATGCGCATACCTGAATATATCTTTTTTCGTGTTTTAATCATAAGCAGCAAAAAACTGTGCACGTGTGTGCCGTATTTGACCCCAACGCCTTCTCCTCTCTCCTGGGATGACCAACCAAACGTCTGTTAATTGTGACCTCAGAATGGTTCACTCAAATGCACTTTTAGTGGGTTTCCAAGGCGATATCGTACTCCCAGTGTACTTAAACATGCTGCGGCCCCGGCGTGGTTCAAGACCACATGCTGGGGCCACGGAATTAGCCCTGGCCCGATTACGTTTTCCCGATACCTGCGATGGAGATCGGAGAGGACGTGGACACAACCGCTTACTTCGGAGCTCAACCACGTTGGTGCCGTCGAGTCGTGTGAGGGATTTGCGCGTGTGTGTTTAAACCTCGCGTGTGAGTCATATATGCGCTAACATCGAGACCTAGGTGTGAGGATAATCCAAGAAAAATATCAGTGTGGATGAGGGGGAAGTTGAGGATCTGCGCGGCTGGCGACATGCTGCGAAAAGGGGAGGCTGGAGCGACCGAATTAAGGGGTGTGAATAAACACGATTCACAACAAACAAAACTCCGCCACGCTTAAGTTTGTTGTATGGTCGATTTGATCGGTCACTTGTAGGCGGTGCGACTGCTTAATGACAGCAATTTCGGCTCACTGCACAGCCTTGGGTAATTATTGCCATCCAATCACATCCTTATGGCTGTGCATAGCCTGACGCGAATGTCGCCACTGCCACGTACTGTTTTCATTACTCTCGCGTGATGAAACGGCTCTGTATGGAGACATGTTGCTTACTGAGTGACCCGCGTGTTACAAGGCCTGCTGGAAGTCACTTTCACCTGGACATTTTGCTTCCCTCTAATGTGCACAGGGTCGGGTTTACTTCGTGAGAACTCGCTCTTAACTTACTCCAGCGTCTCGCGTTTGCGACAGCCGGCAGTCCACGTTATACCACGACCACGTGTACATCGCAACCGTTCATTGGTGTGTGTGTGAGAGCGTATATCCAAGGAACTGGTGAACTTTGAGGATAAGCAGAATATGTGTTTGTGGGAGCCTGTGAAGGGTTAAGGCTGATCACGGACCTCATGCCCCTTCTGACAAGTCTGCTAAAGAGAGGCTTCTCTCTTCCTTCAGTCTCCCGTGCTTGTCCAACTATAGCCTAAGGCATTTTCACAGAAAACTAATCGCCTGTTTTCCTTCGTTTTTTATTCCCTCCAGCCAAACAATCTACCTCAGCCGGAGACGAGCCCTTTGTCGGCCTACACCTCCGGCATCACGCATTACATGCCCAACGCGCTGCGTCTGATGCAGTTCATGTCGCCCCCTGGGGGTGGGGGGGCTGACAACTCTCTCGAGGGCCTGCGTGCCCCGCGGCCCGGCGAGACCGTTGTCTACGCGCCCGGAGCCTTCGATCTCATGCGTATCCCTTTTTTGCTGTCGTTTCATCGCGTATTGTTTTTTTTTTGACATTTTGAATAGACTCCACCGAATGCCTGGCTGTGGTGCAGCCTTTTCAGTATCTCCTGGTACCCGAAGTTGCCGTATTCTTCCTTAAATCGTGGTTTTAGATGTTGGTCATGTGAAGTTTATGGAAAAGTGCCGCGAGATCGGGTCGTACCTTATCGTCGGTCTCCACTCCGATGAGGTAAGTTTCTTCTACTGCCTTCACGATGATTGATCCCCACCTGAGTCATTCTTGCACACTTCAATTAATCGACGATTTGTGTTTGTTATGTCGATTTGAGGTACAATGTCGAAAAAGCAGCTTAAACAAACGAGATCGTATCGAGTGACGATTGTGTGCACTGAGGTGCCAATGTCGAGGTGATATTCTTTTCGCCTGTCATTACCTACACTGCAAGAGTTGTTAAAATCTGTTGCCTTTCAGTCTGCGCTGCTCGAAGCGGGTCGAATCGGGCCAATCCTCAACATGCATGAGCGACTTCTTCCTCTGTTGGCTTGTAGGGTGAGTGACGATCTGTGCTTTTTACCTTCCATCCTAAATCTCGCTCTAAAAGCCATTTCTGCGTCGTTCTATCTCCCTCTATGTGTGACTCTCAGTGATCCCTCTCCAAGTCTTCGCTCTGGCTGTATTTTGCTGATGCCCGTGCTTACCCCTAGTAGCACCTGTTCTTGATCTGTCATTTCAGTACGTCAACAATGTCATCCTGGACGCTCCCTTCGTCGTTACCGAAGAGTTCCTCGACTTCTTCAAGGTAGGAGTCTCCTTGTGTGACACCACGAAGCGATCGACTGAGTCCACGTGGTTCATCCGAAGTGTTAATCCTGTGCAGTTCTGTGAAACCCCGTGTATTATCATAGCGTGTGTGTGTGACTTAGCGAAACAGTCAGTACACGTAGGTTTGTACAAAAGTACACTACTTGAACCATATACTGCCTTGGTGCAATCAAGCGCATTCGGAGGTGTCGAGTATGTGAAAATTAACCGTCAAGGTAATCATGTAATGCTGTCTTATTGATCCTTTGTATACCTTCAACACATGTCCCCTCAGCACCTGTTGAACAAGTGCTTGAGAGTTTAGTAGAGGCGCTAATTTGCTCAACCCAACATGGTTTTTTGATTAAGGTGTAGATTAGATCGACGTGACTTGCACCAATCTTGTTTGCGTTCTAGGTCGATGTCGTCGTCGTGGGCACTCACACGGATGACCTGCCAGACTCACCTAACGACCCCATGGCGGTGAGTGACTTGGCAGTCTCATTTCGCCTTATTTCTGTGCACGAGGCAGCCAGTTCCACGATCCTTTAAGGTGGCGACTGCTTTGGCCTTCAACCTCTGTTGTCGTCATCTTTTGCTGCACAGTTGGCTGATTCCCTTGGCCTCAATGGCGACTATTTGTAGTTTCTAGTCGGCTAAAACATGAAGTAAACCAAAAACCTACGCATAACAAAGTTTTGTTTGTGTGCAACGATTAAAACCGTGTTGTATCCGTAGTCATTTGGGGTATCTAACACAGTAATCCTTCTAATTCCCTCGCTAATAGAACGTGCTGGAAGTGAGGGTGCTATGTTAATACTTGCTGATGTTCTCTATCATTTGACACATACGCCGCTGGTTCGTCTTTGTTTCAGGTACCGCGGCGGCGCGGCATTTACCGAAGGATCGAAAGTGGGTCGGACGTCACCACACGACAAGTTATTCAACGAATCATTGAAAATCAGTGAGTGCTGAGTTGTTAGATTTGTTGCCGTATGTCCGTTATTCTACGCAAATGCTAGCAAAGCTAGCCGTAAATAGTGCATCTTTCAATAGTTGAGGCTGACTATTTGTGCGAGGTGCTGAGCCAATTGTTTTAATTCTGTGTGAAAGGGCCTACGAGAATCGAAATCGGATCAAGGAGTCCAGGGAGGTAGAGGCGGTCGCCAGAGGAGGCCTCAATTGCACCCACTGACCGCGACTGCGTGCGCGGTACAGGTGTTGGCGGCATTCCTTCTAGTCCGTGTCTTTCACTACCCTTTCTTTCTTTCTCGTATTTAACTTTCCTGTCACTGTTTGTAGACCTCTTTTGGTCACCCCTGCTCTCACAGCGACATGGCTCCACGAAGAAATAGAGCTCATACTCACACGCGGCGTAAACTGCTAACTCGCGGAAATTGTTTAGGGTAAAAATAGGAACCATGTGGCTTCTGCTTTCCCTGCGTCTCATTGCAGTGTGCGGTAATTACGAATGACGTCTGGTCAAATTGTGTTTGGTCTGGTCAAATTAGGTTTGGTCGTCTGCTTAATAAGTGGACCAGCGTTCGTATATCGTGCAAGTTGATAAGCAAATAATTGAGATGTGCTAGAATACCTCAAGTAGGCTAGTCCCCTAGAAATGTATCGGGAACAGACACGTCTGCATTGTAAGCAAGGAATTATCAGAACACATATTAAGTACTTTACGGTGTTGACTTCACAGTGAAACCACCTCCATCTCTTTTTTAATACCAGTTTCATTTCCTAAAAACTTACCCTCGAAGCCGTTGCCCTTTATCAGTAAATTAATATTCGTGGCTAGCAGATCGTTTATTGTACTCGGATTTCTGACCTGCTAAATAAGGCTACCGACTTGGAGACTTGATCTCTTCGGAATTGCATTAAGTGATGTTGGTAACGCTGCTGCTACGTAGTGATTTCTTAAAGTACGAGTTGCTATGCAGGAGTTTCGGCCCACAGGACTGACTAATCCGGCCGTGCTAGCTTTTCGTGAGCAAGCGAAAGTAGTGACAGTGGGGAAATGGCACATCTGACCACTCACCAGGCAGCCCTCAGCACTTTGTAATTTCATTGGTCGGCTGCGTTGGTTCAGAGTGCCGTAGCCCCCCACGTACGACATGGGCGAATTCGTTTCGTATGACTCATGTGAAATACACAAGAGCAATCGCGACGCACGCCGTCTCAATTTTATTAGAAAGGAAAAAGTAAAAAACTAGGCGAATAAGTAGAAAATCGGCGAAAAGGCGGAATAAATGCAGCGGTCATAGGGGGTTCCCCGTGGGTGCGTCGATTCGCTACTCACGAAGTGCTGACGGACACCGATTGCGCGTGTGGCCGGGTAGGTGGCACAGTCCGCACTTGCGAATGCCGCCGCCGCGACGAGATGCAGCAGCTACAAAGAAAGCGGACACATGGACACAAGTTACCGTAGCTTTTCTTTCAAGGTCGAGTAGAATAAGTGTAAAGCAAGTAACATAAATACACAAAAATCGATAAACACCCACAGGAGAAGGTCGTTGGGCCGGAGGGTGGCCAACCCTCGGCAACACTGGGAGACGCGATGGGAGCAGATCTGGACTGGTAGCCACCGCGACCTCGACCACGTGGACCGCCCCGACCTTGACTGCCACCAGCGGGGTTGGCTGTGTCTGCCCACTGGAAGAATCGGCAGCCCGAACTGTGGTCACCCGGGTTGCTGTTGGGACAGACGTAGAACTGACGACCCTTGTTCACAGTCTGCTGACTCACGGTTTTCCTGAAGGAGGTCAAAGTCATGTAAAAGTTTGTTGTGAATCGTGTTGACTCACATACTTTAATCCAGTCGCTCCAGCCTCGACACAGGGTTCCCCTCAACTCCCCCCTCATTCGCAAGAATATATATCTTGAATTATCTTCACACCTAGGTCTCGATGTTAGCGCATGTATGACTCACACACGAGGTTTAAATACACACGCGCAAACCCCACACACGACACCAACGTGGTTGAGCTCTGAAGCAAACGGTTGTGTCGACGTCCTCTCCGATCTTTTTTTTCATCGCCGATATCAGGGAAATGTGATCGGGTCAGGGTTGATTCTGTGGCCCCAGCGTGGCTCAAGACCGCATGCTGGGCCCACAACATTTTTGACCTTGACGACACATCTGCCACTCAGACCTGTCAACTCAAACCGTGGAGCAGAAGTAATGGCAGACAACAACGGACAACGGTGATCAGAATACAGCATGCAAATGAACGCACAGGACAGTGGGGAGTCCACACGAGCACAGAACTTCGCCTGACTGTACGAAGCCCGAATCGCCGCTCACTGACGTGCGAGAGGATGACGACGGTCTCCAGGACGCGGAGGCTGAGGAGGCATTCTGGTCTCCACTACTAAAAAGTTGCGATAGATATGCACAGGTGGTCGACATTTTCAATGAACCAAGGTACTCTCAGTTACCTGATGGAGAAATCGCTAACAGACGGGTCGCAACGCTCTTGCCAAAGGAAAAAATTGCAAACGTCCGATGAGTCGCCGCACTTGTAGAACTTTTTCCCTGTAAAACATCAAGCACAGATGTGGAGGAGTTTTATTTCCACAGTTGTTTCTACGTAGGCATTACATACCTTGATTTGGCCCCGGTTTTTTTACGGTTAGGAGGCGCGCAGGTATGCCACAACCGCAGATCACGGGATTACTCTCGTCCGGCCCGACACAGCCACCCGACTGGCCTGAATTCGTCGACAAGGCGCCACCGAACGGCCGCAGCGGAACCGCCGGAGGGTTACGTGGCTGCGTCAAAAAAGACAGAAAAAAAGCCATCCACAATCAATTGCAAGAGCTGAAACTGCTCCGCGGGAAACGGGTGACTGACCTGGCGGTGGTTGTGAGCGGCGGGTGTGATGGTGGAAAAGCCTCGATTCGGTACTGAAGTGGAGGTGTTGTGGTGGTGGGCGGGCGAGGCGCGCGGTGGTTGGGTGGGTTGCGACGGCGCGGGGACTGTGCGAATGCCGAACGCCATTCGGAATTCCTCGTCACAGAACAGACAGGTTACGTATCTGACAAAAGCAAACACGAAGATTAAAGACGGTTTAGTGCTTTGTCTTCAGAATTCAAACCCTCTAGAAAACAGGCGCCGAATCCATCGCACAGCAGAAAACGATAGAAGCAGGGAATTTTCTTTGATTGGAAACCAGGTGCCGCTTACGTTGGCTTCGATAGGCCTTCACTACTCAATTAATGCTTAGTAGATGACGCGCATTGTGGGCATTTAGAAACGAAACCACTGCCTGCTGCTTCCATGCATTCGAATCCGGTCTCGCACAATGTGGACAGACCCTAGTGTGGACAAAACATTCCGAACAAGCGTTAGCGAGGACGGATTCAGTCGGTCATCGTGTGAGAGCTTCTCGGCTCGATGTTTGTTCATAGAACAATGTCACACTTTCCTAAATAAACTGACGCCTCAGGACACTACAAATGCATTGAATAGAACTTGGTTGTGACGTGGTGTGACGATGCTGGAACACCGACGCCACCTTCTTGGAAAGCAAACAATTTTCCCACGGATTCGCCGAAAGCATCCCGACTACTGAGTGATCGGAGGATGCGACTCAGTCGAGTGAGCTGTGTGCGCTGCTTCGTCCACCAGCCCCCTCAACAGGACATGCTTTCAGCCCGGGTCCGACTGTGTGAGTTTTGTAATCTCGGCGCACTCACGAGAAAGTCTTGCTCCGAATGAGCAATACCAATCAGTGACAATACACCGGCTCGAATCGCCTTCATCATTGCTCGCTGAAACATTCTGTGCTTATCTCGATGCCTTTCATATCATCCACTTCATTATTCTCAATCAAAATGTGCCCGTGTGATAAGAAAGCGCGTGCGTACATAGCACAAATTAACTCCCAATTCTAATTAATATACTAATGACATGAGATATTTCGTTAAAAATACTAACTTTGCCGTATTCTCACATACTTCCAGGCCAGAGGCTTTTTGCAAATAACAGCAGGATTCACCTCTTGCGAGAGATTTACTACGCCAGCGCCCATTGGCCGTGCTCGTGAACCGAAATTTCATTGGCTAGTTTAGAATGCTTGACATTTGGGCTAAAAATGCATATTTTTGTGGTTATTTACCCACACCTCGATGTGGCGCTTATTTTAAAAAGGTTAAAACTGCAAAACGTGCACTAACAGCTATCTGGTGAAGAATTCAAGTGACGAAGTACGAAAGAAGATGGTATGTCTAACCTTGACGGCATTTTCAACTAGGAAACCTGTAAAGCAGTCATGACAAGGCTCTTTCATGTGCTAAAAACCGGGGTTTTGAAACGACCTACTCCATATCGGCGTCTTCTTGGATGTAGCCACTAGGCAGGAGTGTTCCAAGACGAAATTTGAGACCAACAAACCGCCCACCGCCCTGACATCCGGTGGGAGACGAGCAGGGCAGACAGGGAGAAATCTGGGACCTTTCGTTGCGGACGCCGTCCAGGTTCTCGATCACTCTTGCGGCCACAATCGAATCGGGCAGCCAGATGGCGTATCTGCAGTTGGGGAATCCGGTGCACGACAGGAACCAGGACATACTACAATATTAAGGTTACTTATTTTTAATAAGTACACATTTCGTAAACTACGTGAAGGTGAGGATGGGAAGGACTGACCGATTTGACTGAGCAGCAGTGGGCGGTTGATTTTCTTGTGGATTTCGTTTGCGGATGACGACATCTCTGCCACATGATGGACACTTGCACAAGTTGTGGTAACCAGTTCCTCCAGCGGCCGCAGACTCAGGGTTGTCATCTGCAAAGCAACACCCATGAAGTTTCGCTCGGCCGAGTAAACAAAATGCCCAGCAAATGCACATCTCCAACCTGGAATGTTGGCAGCCTCCTGAGAGAGATGTCTGCCAATGGCAACATCCAATTTCCTTGCTTCCCTCATAACCATCTCAAAAGCAGACTTGTATTTCGCCAACTGCGTTCTCAGGACTTCTAGATGAAAAAAAGAATAAATAAATAAATTTCGGATTATAGGAGACTGGAATCAGTGGAGCAAAACGCACCGTCCTTGTCCTTTCGGCCTTCGCATATTCTAGACAAATAAATCACAAAAAAATAGTTAACACGTCGTCCCCAGGAATAACTTATTAACTGAGACAAAAGGTATGCGTAGTCAGAAAGGCATACACCGCTTGGAAATGTCACGGGTTAACTACAAGCTAGATCACCTCAATCGAGACCGATGCTGTAGTGGGAAATTAGGAATCAGTCAAATACTGCGGGGGGAGACTAATGCATGGAGGCGTAATTTCAATCAACATTACTGAAATTTACGTCAAAATGACCACAATGACGGTACGTACGCTTTCAGATCCGTCTCCAGATCTGCACGCAGGCAAGGCTTAGCCACGGCCAAATCCATTGCATCGTAGCCTAAAATTAGATGGCGCGTTCAAAGGCAGAGCAACTGGAAGTAGTCAAAGTGGAGGGAAATAACGCGTTTCTCACTAAACCACGTACCTTCAACGAGACCCATGCCAAGCTGGCTGGGCACGAGGAATTTGCCGTCTTGGAGACCGACGTACATGCGCTTCTTGATGGTTTCAATGTGCTCGGCGTGTGTTGCGTCAGTCCCGATGCCGTACTTGTCCATGAGGGCGATCAAATCTGCCTCGGTGAGGAGAGAAGGTGGTGAAGTGCGTCCTTCCATTATCTGCATGCAGGAAAACCCGCAGCTTAAGTTAGTTACCAACGAAAATTGTTAAAAAAAGGCACTAGTTATCACTCAGCAGCCATTAACCTCAATCTTGTCCGGAGTGATAATTTCACCGAGCTGGAAGTTTGGCATGAAGCGCTCGCTCCAGCTCTCGTAAGTGTACACTTCCAAGTAGTTGCGGCCGTGAATGACTAGACCCTTGGCTTCGAAGAGTTCCCCCTCGCCACCGGTGGGAAGACGTCGGCCAGGCAGGTGGGCGATCGGTGGGGGGTCCATCCCGAGGAGCAGCCCGACGGTGGTTTCAGCGCCTTTCGCATCCTCGGACACGCAGGCTAGAAAGTGGCGCGTGACGAGCTCGTACAGGCGTGCCTCATTGCCCTGAATACATGCAATCAGAATTGAGTAGCAAGAAGACTGGTACCTGAAGGCCACTTCCCTCTTTTAAAGGGTGAATAGGGGGGTGTGCGTGATCCGTCTTTTTTCCGTTTCTTGGGTTCGGGCCATTTTCGAGAATGCGTTGAGCAAATGCTATAACAGGTGGACATTAAGGGTCAACAAACAATGGTCTACTGCACAAACAGAATCGATTTCGAAGCTTTACCTGACCATCGAGGATCCAGTGTTTGGGCTTCGACAAGGGGTCGCAGTTTTAGGTCAGGGGGAAATGAATTTGTCTCTGTTCTAGGGTATGAAATGAAGCCCTTTGTGTAAAGGGACTCAGCTAATTGCATAGTTTCCTTGGCACCAATTCGAAGTTTTCTAGACGCCAGTTTCTCCATCTCCACGGTGTCCAATGGAAGTGGACGCCACTTAGATTTAGGCTTCTGTTCAACGTGCACGACTTGACCTGTCGAATGCTATAATAAAAGTTACACTGAAATCGCAGAAAGATTAAATACCTCCAGAAGATGCTCGTGATATGCACAACAGCAGGAGTGGTCGAATAAGCGCCCCCTTTTCCATTGAAACGTTGCGGTAGATGATTCCCGCGATACCTCCACGGAAATCCTCCAAAAAGGTTCTGGGACAAAGCTTTCAACTTCTCTAAAGCGGTCGACAACAAAGCCGAGTGTTGGAAATTGACAGGAACCATAAGAAACCAACTGATCAGCCAATGCCTGAGGAAATACACGTTTCAGACGAAGTGTCTGAAAACGCGTAAAAGCAGCCCCGATACGCAAATCAAGCTCTTGGCGAGCATCCACAGCATGGCTTACACGTTCGTCAATGATCGTTAAATTGTTGACGGCTCGATATATGGCAGCAGGAGTAATTTCGGAGAATTTCGCACGAGCAACGGAGAGGGACGGCCTCACCTTCCTACAAACTTCAACAACTTCCATTCCAATATTTTCGCCTTCTCGATCACAATCGGTCCAAATGATTAGTTTTGAACAGTTTTTAACTTCTCTCTCGAGAGTGCGCTATAAATTAAGTGTAGACTATTGAGTTTACTTAAATATATAGAGTGAAATGGCTCTGAATCGAAAAAAACATACCCTAATTGGTTCGAATTCTGTAGTGCATTTTTTCTCTATTGGAGCATCAAATAGAGCTAAGGGATTGCAAGATTCCCTAGGAAGAATTTCTAAATTACGAAAGTAACCTACCACGAGCGAAAGCACTGAAGAAAATCATAGTTGAGAAGATGACCAGAAACAGATGTCATCACAAACAAGCAGTCTTCACCACCGAGAGATCCATGGAACTCGTATATTTTATTAAATTTAGATAACCCCTCCCGCTAATAAAAAAGTAACTAAACAAATTCAACATACTCTTATCGACTGACCCCTTCCGAGGATAGAGGCAATATTTTTCGCTGCCTCATTTTTTTCTGCAACGTTAAGAACACGCATTGACGATAAAGTACGCATAAAACATGCAAATGAAATTTTAAGGCGTGACATGGACCATTAAAAAGTAGCGCACAATATACAGACAGGCATGCACATCGTAAACACGGTTTCAAAATACGCGGATATCCTTTACGAAATAACCTTGATGTGGTAAACGAATAAACTTTAATTGTCGTTTCCATTTCGGAATATAACTTAGCAGTTACTACCATAAGTGTCGTTACATATTAAACTTTCATACTGAATTTTAGAAAATGTTTTGCATTCGCATTTACATGTCTAATAATCTGTGTACATTCACAGGGCGGCTTCGCTAAATAGGTGAAAAACTACAAATTAATAGAAGATGGCCTGCCATGTTAACTTTTAGACTCTCTGTGCGTTTTAAAGTATGTCGTAGAAGATTTAATTGATTGTCAGACTAAATTTTTAATGCTTTTATAGTCGTTATTTATTATATAATCTGAAATATCCATAATTGGGGAGTCATGCAGTGATTTATGCAGATGGTGTGTTTTGGAGCGTAAAAAGTTGTTCTGCATATAATTATGAAACGAAGGATTTGAAGTTTTGGTAAACCTTTAAATATGTTATTAATTAATTAATTATTCCTTTTATTTGTGGGAAATCAAAATGGATGTCTCACTAATTTTTGTTGAAATAAGATAACTATTATTATATTGTGGATTTAGCGTGGAAATCTTTCAACATTATTCATCCGATTCTGCTAAGTTGAGAAGTTTAGTTGAGCTGACAGACCTTGCATGAACGCAGAGTCATGCCGATTCAATCCGTCAGCACAATATTGTTCTTTAACTCCCACTACATTTAAAATTTCACAGTAAACACAATCAGCAATGTAATACGTGGTTAGATCGACCTCGCATTCGTCATTCTTGCAATTTTTACGGTTCCTGGGAAACCACGTCAGTGTAATCTGAAATGTGGGAATACTGAAAATATTTCTGTCAGCATTAGCCACTTTAAATGAGTTGAGTCGCCGAAATTAAACAGCTTGGCATTGAATCTCGATTACAATTCAAACTAGAAAGTTTCCTTTTGTTTTTTTAGTAATTACAGCATCTTATATCTACATGCAACAGCAAATTATTACTTAATTTATTTTGTTCAACGAAATCAGGTCTTTTTTTAATACTCGCTGAATAATATCCATTTAAAAAACAAAAGGTTTTTTTTTGCGTGATAAAAATTGGAAATCTTTACTGCCAGGTATCATATTAAATAAGTAAACAGTTACTTTGCTAGCAATTTATAATACTACTGGGCTTCATTCCCGAAAATTCAAATGAGTCTTCTTACACCGAAAATAAATGTTTGGTTAATTGTGCAATATTTATCCGTAGAACTAAGATTTTGGTATTTTTCAAGGTCTTTGCAATCAGAACATGTTTTGCTACTAATACTATGTTGGTGTGAATTCGATAATGAGGGTTCTGAAAAAGAATAAATTTGTACAACAAGACTGCGTTACATAAATTCATTCTAAGCCACAACATCCATAAAAAATGGAAAATACCTATATGCAATAATAAAAAAAGCCCTTACTATTTTCTAGCATTCGTTCAAATTTTAATCAGTTCAATGAAGCTCACTTCTGGCATACCAAATTTTGCAACATTGGAACATCATCCCCACCTATTAAATGTTGCTTATGCAAACGAAAATTTATAAAAAAAAACTATAACTGAGACCATCAGCAACTGCAAAATGCAGTAATTTTACAGCCTAAATTCAAACTAAGTAGGCTATCTTAACAGTCGCTGAGTTAAGGCACGTGTTTAGAAAGAAATGTTTAGAATCAAGTTTCCAATTTGGACAGTTCCAGTGTTGACTAGACGAGCCGAAGTCAATAGCTCCGCAATGAACGTGCCAAAGGTTATTGAACCAGAAAGGAAAACGATTCATGTGAAAACCGCAATTTTAATCGAATAAAGTGCAAAATCAAAGGAATCTCTTAAGAAAAATCTAAAGAAGAAGGCAAAGAGGCCTTGTTTAGTGTATGTACAGGTGGAGAAAGAATACGGCTTGAGTACTTCGTAAGATGCCTCTATACAACCGCGACCTGTGGATTGCGTCAGTTTTGACCAACGGTCGTTGAAGTGCTCGAACCAGTTGACGCGTGTGAACTACCTCGACTTAGGTGTGTTGAGCCACCAGAGGAAGTTGTCAATTGATCAAAACTCATCAGGGGTAAACGAAGAGACCAGTTCTTCGAACTGCATTCACTGGCTCTTTTCTGCTCGTAGAGTGAACTTATTCTTCGACAGATTCCGGCTGGAACATCATCAATTGTAGCAGGTCTTGACAAGACGGGAACAAATAACTGGGACTTGTCCTCGACGTAGATGGCAGTGGGTCGAGGACGAACGCCCGTCGTTCTACCAGTGCTGGATGGCAGAGCTTCCAAATGCGGGCGTAATATTTTAGGGATCCATAAATCTTTGGGAGTACTGTCCTCCTCCCTCTCCACTGTGTTAGCGTCTGAGTACAGGCCACAGGTCCAACGTGTTTCGCACCGATAGTTTCTGGAAGTCGTTCTTAGAGGTTCCATTGTATTCCAAGCGCCTGTTTCATTCTGCTGACCAATCATTTCGAATTCCGAATTTGGAGAATCCACTTGTTTACCTTGAATAGCCTGCATTTTATTTAGCGGATGGGCATCTACATCGCTAGTTGATCGATAAAGGGTGGGATAAGACAGCTTTGTTTCGATAAGTGGTGATTTTAAATTAGACACTGGGTCTGAATCGAGGCTCATGCCTGCAAAGCTGTTATAGAAATCGCCAATCATGAATGTGCGTCGACCTTCACCGGTCATTTCAATGGTGCACGAGCGAACGGGACTACGAGAAGGGTTTCGACGACGAGAAAAACTCCTTCGTCTATCCACAACTGTGGTCCCCGACACCTGGAGATTCTCCTTGTGAGGAATAGTCATTTTCTTGCGCTGCTCTCGTGGAGAGAAAAACTGCGTTGGGGAACCATATGTTCGCGCGGGCAGCGGTGGAGGGACCTCGGAGTCCTGTGAAACAGAACCCCCTGAAGAGTTGCTGGTGCTTTTTCGTCGACTTCTAGGGGGCACAGGGGGAGGGAGTTCGGCACTCTCCTGGCTACTGCAAGATTTTGAGTCCTTTTTCAAGGTCTTCAGGTAGCGTCTAAACCCGACGTTCACTTCGGGTGACTCGTCTTGAGAGAGCGAGTGAGTTATCAGTGAGTTGCGCTTATCCTTTGCAAGTAGTGGTTCCATTATTCTACAAAAAAATGCAGCACAAAACCCCTGAAGGAAATAGAAAATGCTGAACACAGTGGCACTTTAAGGGCACAAATCATGCAGCGGTGACCTTCAAAATCGTGCACTTTGCTTACCGAAAGATACCTCAGGATTCCGCTCACGCCACTTGTCGATTTCTGACCAATCAGAGCAGTTTCCTGAGCTTAACATGATACATGTCGACTTGAAAAGTCACAAGCTAACACTCCTTACCGCTTCTATGAGAAACGGCTGCACACGTATGAAAACTCGTGCCTTCCTGGATTAGCATTGCAGTAGGAATAGCAAACATTTTTCTTTTCCTGCAACCGTCACTCTACTTTGAAGTGTTTGTGCATTTCCTCTGCACTAATTGACCTTGAGTAAAAAGCTTGCCTGTGGCAAAGATCGGTAATTTCAGCAAAAACGTTTTGCTTGCGTGAAAATTGATGTCCAAAAGAAATCGTACCCTCTTCAATGGTTTTCGTGCCAGTCCAATTTGTTAGTTGAGTCATTACATGAAACAAATGTTCTGCAAATTTATTAACTTCGTTCTAGATAAGTTAATCGTTGCTGAATTCAGGATACGAACTAACGCAGTTTAACTACCACAGTATAGATTTCATAGGAGGCACTGATAGTACAACGTGCACTCAACAGCTAGGCTTCACTCACTGTGTATATGAAATTGAGGTAAAACTACGTTACGTTGGCGGCAGAAGTAATGGAAAACGTTTGGTAGATGTCGTCACACAGTAATCTATTACTGGAATTCTTTCGTGGACGCACGGAGTAGGGCAATCGAGAGACATATTAGGCCGCCAATCAAGTATTAGCACACGTGCGTTTCAGACTCCGTCATGTGAAAATGCCACATGATTTTCCAAAAAATGTGGAAATTTAAAAGCCGTTGACTGTCAAACATCAGGTCAATTTAATCCAGGGACCTGTCAACGACGCAAAGCCGAACGTAGGCAGTCAGACTTTATCAGATTTGTGCTTTTCTGACAGTCACGTGCAGGAATGTTCTTAATAAGGAGTTGTAGTAAAATGAATTTCGTCATTGTCGGGCTGAATCTGCTCCTTCTTCCTCCGGCAATGTAGTGGACACATTCGCACCCTCTTAAAATGTAATTTAATCTGCTTAATTTAGAGTACTTTTCATCTGGTACTGCACACCTATTTACCTCATACGTGCCTACCAGCTGCCGGAAAATTTCATCACGTTAATGCGTCATTTTATGATCCCACTTAAACAATGCGCAGGCTTTGAGCAATAAACCAAGATCATATTGTACTTAATGAAGAGAGTAGCCTATCAAGCTCAGTTCAATGGGATTTCAGTGGTAAAACGGCAGTGTGTCGCCAATACAGTGTGATTCGTTCCACTATTTGATCTCAGAAATGACCTTCGGGACACGATGGCGAGAGATCGAGCCTGGTGGAGCGCCCTTTCCATTGACCTAGAGACAATCATCGAGTGGATGTGCTCTTTATTCCACGGATACACTTCTCAAACACACAAGAGCACATAAGCGCTTTGATTAGGGAGCATTAATTGTTTGCGCAAACGTGAGCATTCAGGCCACGTATTGTTAACTGTAGGTTAAATTAATAGCCTGCAAAATCCCCAGTGGAGACTCTCCTTTCAACGAGATTTGAGTGATTTGGGTGTTCTGATCTAGATCCAGGAATAAATTGAAGAAATTACCAGTCGGTAAACAACTTAGTCCCGTATTTGTGCCAGACAACAACCAATCAAAAATAAGATGATGAGCAAATGAGATCTGCGACTCTGATTGGTTAGTCAGGATCATATTGTCCAATCACGGGACAAGTCAACGCCATCGAAACGAAGCGGTACCAGGCGAAGTAAGAAATTAGCGTAGCCATTGGTCTACTCTACGATTACAAGATTTGAGAAAAAATTACGGCTGAACTGAGGCGTGTCACTCGACTACTGCTGAGCAAAATTATGCGTGATTTTTTGTATGCAGCATCACAAAGCTAAGAACCTACTAGCTTACCTGGGACTCGCGGTGGTGTTGGTGTCAGAAACGCTGACATCATCGGCCTTGTCTAAAACAACAAAGCATCACATTAAATTTCGAGGTGCAGCTTTCGGCTAAAACTGTTTGTCTCTGATTGGTGCAATTATACGCACTCTCTGGCAGTTCTAGAATGCTGAGTCCTTCAGGAGCAGGTTTGGGCTCGTTTGGTGGATTCATCTGTCCCCAGATCTCATCGAAGAAGCTAGAGAGCTTTTGGCGAAATTCGGTGCTATTCAGACAGTAGATGTCAGTGAACTGGCCCAGCAGACAGGAAGCAATGCTCGCACACATGTTTGAATCCTCAACAGACGGTTGGGCATTCGGCCGCTCCAACAGATTAGGACCCCAAACCGTGGACAGCGCATCGACCGACATCTTATTCACCTCCTGGTTAACGCGAATTTGAGCGAGCGTAAACAGTAAGAAGGTGAGCAGTGATTGATTGATGTCGGGCAGTTCACGCATCATTCTAAAGAAGAAATCAATCTTTCTAAGCGATAGCTTCTATGACGTTTCCTGAATTTTGTAGGATCTCAATGCTATCACCACTTTAATCGTTTTGTTTTCAAATCTCACTATCACATCTCTGGATCCCTTCTTAGTGTTCTTCAAGGCCTTGTTATCAATTATGTTTGGTACCGATTTCAATAAACAATTTACTTATTAAGACTCAACGCACTCCCAGAACGCTGATTCACTACACCCCAAAATGTCTGTTTCAGTGCATAAACAAAGACTACTAACTTTTTGGCGTAGTTCGCAATTTCTTCGTCCGATTTCAAAGTCGTCATTTTGCACCAGTCGTCCCACTTTTCGTCGATCAGAAGGTGGCCAGGAATCTCACTGAAGTATTTCTACCGAAAAGTCAGAAAGAAGAAACTGCTAAAGTGGGACCTTAGAAAGTACCCCTTCCAGTTCTGGCTAGCCAAATATTAAAAAAGAGCACTTTCCCGGATGCCTTCCACACTTTGGCATGATCCTACACTGACGGGAGTTTGGACTCACTTTTAAAATGTTCGCAGCATACAGGGGACTGCACTCGTCAACAAGTAGTGGGTTCTCATCCGTGTCCACTCGTTGGATCATGGCGTGCAGTTGGGACTTCTGCACAGACTTTCGAAAAATGCCTTCAGTCAGGCTGCCTTTGTAGAAGACCAGCACAAAGAGACTCTAGAGGCAGGCAGAGAAACAATGCGCAATTAGGTTCTCGTTGAGTTGAAAGCGGATCTGAACCTACTTCCACATAACTTAGCCGTTTTGCATGAATGTGTCTTTTAAAACAAATTGATATCATATTCTCTAAAATCCCCACATGATTCAACGTCCGGAATTTGTGTTCTGTGATTAACAGTATATGAAACTAACTTTGATTGGTTAGGAAATGGGGCAGCCAATAGAATGAGAAGATTGGTGCGGGAGCCTAATCGCAACAGGAGCCGCTTGTGCCCAAAATTTTTGTTGCGTAAATTGTTCGATTACTACGTTATAACCGATAGGAAAATTCGCTAGTGTCTTCTTTAATTCCAACTTTCAGCTTGGTCATACATAGTCACAAAGCTGTAGTTGAACCCACCATAACGGACATCGACACGCGACAATCAGGCCATGCTTCCTTGGGCAGTCGTCCGAAAATCCCAAACTGGGGTGATGGGGTGTCGTCAAACGTGTTGTCAGTGCTAGATAGGTTGTTTCTGCTCAAATGGAGTCGAAGGCGGGAACGCGAACGTCCCTTCCCGCCACCCGCGACACCACCCCTTCCCTTCTGTTCCTCCTTTAGCTCAGCAGCCCCAAGGTTGTGCGTGCTCTGAGAAAGACTGAGGCCAGTCTTGAGGGGGTGACGATGATTCCGATTAGCATCGAGACTGACATTTGATTTTGGAGGGTCGAAAAGAAGTTTCAGGGGTTCAAATACGTCCTGATCTACGACCAACTTCGGCTGTTTTGAGTTGCTGTCTAAAATAAACCAATATCCTGGGCTAAAATTGTATGCAATCTATTACCGTAAAATAAAATGTGCTTAGTCTGACCTTTATCTGTCCTGTATTTGACTCCTAGTAGTTAATCCATGTTGGACCATTCTAATTGAAAACTGATTAGCTAAGTAACGTCGATTGGGAGAAAAGCAATGAAACCGCTCTGAACAAACAAGGCAAGATTATCTAAAGTAAAAGCTCCAACTTCAGCGTTGTGACAAAAAACATTAGCCGTGTTCTTACTTCTTATAATGAAGGCCACTGGAATTCGATCGGGAGAAAGCGAAGAGTTGAGAGTTCTTAGTGTGACGGTCTGTTCCACTTGGTCAGGCGAAGACAAGTCGAGAGATTCATTCGAAGGTGATACTTTGTCGCCAGTGATTGCCGCGATGTATAGAACCAGGAGGAAGGGCCGATCATCGTCTACAAGTTCAAGCATTGCGTCTAGACTGTGAAGTCTTTAGCGGAAAGAATTTTACTCTAGCTAGACTCACCCGAAAGAGGAATCTCCATGGTCCCTTTGATTGGTTCTGTGAACGTGGCGAAAATTTCTGTCTCTTCTAGTTGGCACTGCAAACAGCATTCAAATTAACTGTTATGTATATTTTCTCAGTTGGTAACACGTTTATTTCCCAATGTTGTTAGAGAATCTGGTCAAATACGACTCTAGTACAATGTTCTTGCTGCAAGAAGTCTCACATAATTTGTTTAGAAACTGCAAAAAATATCCCTTTTTGCCGTCTGATTTAAAGGGTGTCTGGTTGTCAAAAAGGAACGATATGATTCGTCGTTTCGTCAAGTACGTGGGCTGAGCTACTGCAGTTAGCGATCCACATCTAGGGAGGAATCGCAATGAATTGGATTGTGTAGGTCTGTTTTTGGTGGGGAAGGCTGCATAACCCAGGACTGCTTATCGCTAACTGGAATTTCGTCATTGTCAGCGCATCTCCCCAACCCAGGCCATTAAAGTGGACAAGTCTCCCAAATGCCCCCCACCTCCGTTAATCCACCTTAATCCGTCAGGTCAAGGTCACTGATGGCGCATTCTAACACATCACCCGGCCTTTGTCCGAGCCAGTGAAAGCTCTCTCCTCGAGGTTTTTTCTTTGTCCTCTATTGGGAAGGTGGGGTTTAGCGTTAAACAGGGGTCACGGGTGCCGGTTTATCAAAACCAGGCAAAATTTTGTGGTTCTTTAGCTAGTTTATATACCAGCGGACCTTTAAAAGAATACCACCAATTTTATGAGCCAGACCTTGGTTCTTCTTGAACAACTCTTGTGATTACTTAGTCCTGTCTGAGCTGTATATCCTTAGAATAAGTTAGAAGTTGATAACTTCATTATGCCTCATGCCCACGATGTGATCGTCGTCGCTTTCCACAAACAACGCTTACGACTTAGTGGCCTAAATTAACCTCGGAAAACAGAGCAATGCGTGTGTGTGTGTGTGTGTGCGCGCTAACGTGTGCTAAATGGACAATTAACGAGGCAGCATTTATGCATGCAAACGACCACAAACGCGGTGTACATGTGGGTTTACTCACGGCAACGTTCCACGAGGCAAGCGCTTTCTCTTTCAATTTGCGAGCGGTGATGCTAGCTCCAATTGGCAAGTATTTGTGCACGCACTAAAATCAAAACAGCTTATTTTAGAATAAAAAGTGAGGGTCGCGTAAGCGGAAAAGTTATCAAATTGCTGAGAGCAGCCTAAAAATATGCCTTTGCGGTATTGAAACTGACAAAACAGCTCTTGAGGATCAGTGACTTTAGTGGTGATGATGGCGCTCGTGTCTTGCAAATTATCGTCATGACTTTGATTGTAGAAGCCTTCAATATTGATCTTTGAGTTTTACCTAACAAACTAATGAGATTCCACGATAATCACGACAGATTGTCGGATTAGACATAATCGAATTAAGGCAGAAACCTTCTATTCATGAGCAGAAATTTACCTTGAAGTTAACTTGTGATAGACCAACCTTCTTAGGTGCAACATCGTTTTGCACTTTGACTGGAAACGTGAGGTTTGTGAAGGATCCCTGGAGTTGTTCCATCGTGCTGAAATATAGACGAACACACATGCCAAAGCACACGAAAGTTGGAACAGAACCCCTGGAGAATAAATAAACAGATCCATTGAAACCTGACATGCCAATTACCCAACTGAAGGTGGCGAGAGTATAACCGAAATTGGTTTTCAGTAAATTCCAGCTAAAAATTACCGAATTTGAATACTTTTACGTAAGAGCACCCGTCATGGGGCAGTAGTCGATGTTGGTGTGACAAAAACAGACCAAACCACAAATGCCTATCTTCAAGTCGCTATTTATCCCAATAGTACTCGCAGAATTCGCTGGGTTATTACTGACTGATTTGATTGAAGGGAGGAATCAAGTCAATCCCTCTTGACAAAAACGCAGACGTCATTTCCTAAAGCAGTCGAATTTTAGCCATGTCGACATATTTCAGAGATGAGCGAAAGATATAATTTGTTTCTGCAAAAAGCAGTAGACTAGCATTGTCCAGGAAATCTAGTGTCTCCTAATGTCTTTCACCACCACAAAACCTTAGTTAAAAGACAAATTGACTTTGATTAATTTCGCAGTAGGAAGGAAGGCAATTAGGCGATCTACTCACGAATAAAACCACGTTTTCCAACTGATCCAAGCTCTTGCGTCGCCAAAGTTCAACTGGCATCGATTTCCCAGGGGCCACCAGAAACCAATCACAAAAGCCGCGTCTTCAATGCCAGAAGCCGATCCATTCTCACTCGGATCCATGTCCTCCTCGGTACTGGTGGCTGATGAGATACCGGAACTGGACGAGCAGGGGTTTGGTGTTACCTTGGCTGCGGCATCAACTCCGGTTTCGACCTGGGGCTGGATCCCAAGAAAGAGGAGTGGAAGTCGTACCAGCGTCTCGAAAGTGGCTGTCTGCTTCAAAAGGCTACTTTTTGTTGCCCATTTGCCGGTAACAGAGGTCTTTTTACTTCGACACTTAGCGAGGATAATGGAGTCGTTGAAGAGGAAGGAGAGCAGTTCCGTGTGCGTCTCTTGGGCCTTTCCAGCAAGGGACTAGAGTGGTGCGAAATCAAACAATCATTCAACGCGCTTCTTGCAATTATAGCAATTTGTGACACTATAAATTGGAGTTTTATAAAAGTTTGGTATTCGTTTTTTTTTGAAATGGCGCCCAACCGCTTCATTGTAAGAAACCGTATTTCTGAGTGTGTGCGTAAAAAACCTCAGTAATACGAGATTCAGTGGATACTTCGCCTTCCAAAACAACGTTCGCTGCTGATTTAAAAACATGGTTGTGACTAAAGACGTAATAAAAACTTGAACATTTAGCAGCAATTTCTCGAGTACACCTATCAAAAGGAGAGCCATGTTGAAGCCTGATAAGCTTTCAACCTGGACTACAGAACGCATGAGTCATTCGCGGAGCACGTGTTCAACACTAGCCCGGCATCAGGGGACAGCAGGAGACATTCCCACGGTTGCTGCGGTTTCAATTAGTTCAGAAGTTCTACAAGAGGGTGAGCGCGCGCGTGTGTGCGTGTGTCTATAATTACATGTGAACGGATTAATGCGATAAGCCCGCCGAGAGCAGAACTGGGTCACCGAATGCGACTTGTCACAGCGGTGGATGAAATTCTCACCACAAATTCGTCATCTCCCTCTCCCTCATGAAGGTGCTGTGAAAAATTCGAGGCTCCCCGAGAAGATCTCACTGACTCATCCCAGTAGCTTAGGCATACTCGGCAATGATTCAAATCACGGAGGGTGTACCTACAATTCTAGTTTAAGCCAGCGCAAAAGTATCAGGAAACATAATACTCATTTAACCTGGCAAATAACCATTTCGTTTTTTGAATTCTAAATCAATCATATTTGAGAATATTACTGTAGGGTCAATTGGCTATGCAAGCAGTTAGCAAAAGCTGTTAGAATAATTTTGGCAGTATTATCGGATGTTAAATTACTCTGTGTATTTTTGTTTGAATGAAATCAACAAAAAACGCACTATAGTAGCCGTGACGGCAGCTTCGCACACAAGTTTGCGATAAGAGAGCTTAGGCGTCTCTGCCGTTGTGAAGGACATTGTGACTGGAAAGAGGTTCTTCATTCTGCGAAATGAAAAACATGATTTTTAAGACAATTTTCAGACGCAGGCAATTGCCCGTTTTACACTTATAACACAAAGAAGTACAGAGCTAACAATTTTAGACCGAAATAATGTAAATAAGGAGTCGAATTTTGTGGCTTCGCTCATATAAATTAAAAACTTCACACAGGTTGCCACAGTGCAGTTTATTTAAAGGCACAAGAACCATCCCATATTGAAGCACTCTCTCTAGGTCATCTCAAGGTCAAACCAGTATCTTAAGACGTTTACTAATCCTTTGCGCGAAGACAAAAAACATAACTTTGTATAATTTTGAGACATTTCATGGTCAGTTCTAACAGGTCTGTGTATAGGTTTTCGCGATGTTACAACGACAAATTTGCTATGGTGTAATATTGCCTTATTTAGCACAAAATATGAACCTACCACATACACACTCGCTTTTTTCACGTGTCAAAACATTCTGGCAATTTATTAGCATCTGCCAAGATATCTCCGGGGCCAAAAGAGGCAATTTAAAATTACCATTTTTGAATGGTACCGAAACATGTTTCATAATTATTTATGTCATTAGTTTCACGAATTCAAAGCTAACAGTGTTTGTTTTTTAGTCTTTTTTTAAATTTAAAAAGAGCGGACATCTGTCTCCAGAAACAGCGGTAAATTTAAAGAAATTTCCATTAGAAGCCACATTGTCCTTTAAATGTCTCCTATTTCACAACCAATCATAATTTTTAAGGAAGAAATCAACGCAATCAGCAATTAGTAACACTTACGAGAGAAGTTTTTCGTTGTGACCAGCAACCAGTATGGCGCTAATCGGTGCTCCACGTAGATCTTCCTTCTGAACGGGAATTCGGAAAGAAGAAGATAACACATTTAAAGAACTTTTCGTGGTTTGTTGTAACTGAAAGTGTCACTAACTCTTTCCAAGTTAGAAGCAGCCTGTTTAAACGTAGTGAGGCAGTGTTTCTTTAAGTCACTGTGACGTTGTTAACTTGACTACCTGGGTTATGTTTTGCTGAGGCAAGTGTACCTGGGCAGCCAATGCAATCTTACTCCGAGGGTGGTGGCAATTATTACATCCGATTGAACGATTCTTGCCAATGACTGCTGAAATTACTTTCTAATTCGAAGATAGTACCTTTATCATCCTCTTTCTAATAAATTATCGTGTCCCAGAAGAGACAGATACGAATTATCACCAACTGACAACGTTAGAGGTTGCATACTTAGGCATAAAATAATACTTCTACATCAACATCGTTCAATTGGCACAAGTTTTTTAAATGAGCAAATGAACATCCACATTAAACTTTCCTGGAAAGCATCAATACGGATTCGGTATTTTGACAACTTGCGTTTGGCGAAATATCAACCTTTTGGGACTGGATGATTAAAACTAGGATCATGTTTTAGTTGAAATTCAAGCTGACCGTATCTAAACCAAAACTATATGGCCCATAGTAAAGAAACTTTCAAAACAATCAAACTTGGGAAAAAAGAGAGTGTGTGGAGATTCGGGAATTACCAATAAAGCCCTATGTTTATAGGTGCTCGCAACACCAAATGATGCTGAAAACATAATATTCATATTATCAAACGCTTCCTGAAATTTACCGTCTGTGCGAGGAAGGTGTCGAAGCCATCTAGGAAGGCGGCGAAATCCGAGCAGAGATCCCTCAACTCCAGTTCGTTCTCCGCCTTCCCCGCCAAACTCGGCACCGTGAGCCGCCTCTGGTGCTTGCTTATGCCGGCTGACTTGTACCTTCGCAGCTCCGCGTCGCACAGGTTCCTCATATTCTTTGCCCAATTGGCTGTCAGTTTCAACTCGGCCATATAATCCGAAACACAGTGAATCTAAATAGATACGACGAAGGCCATTAGGTGTTAGGTAAAAGGGTACTAGGTGAATGCTTATTGGCGCGCGCAAAAAACTCGTATTAAATTTTACTTCGTTAGATTTCAGAAAATCGGATGTCAAAATCGATATGCAGTGGGGCATTTTTCCTCTTCAAAGGCATTATTCTGGTTGTTATTGCGCACACACTCCCTGTAACTCAAGAGCTAGGTTTTGGAAACGCATAAAAACTATTTCACACACAATGGATGAATAACCATGTCCCATTATGCTATATTTAGCCCACACTTATCAATAGAAATAAGTATTAATCCACATCATCCTGTTGTAGCAAATGTACCACACAGCTAAGCCGAAATTAGTGCTCACAGCCGAAGATAAGAATTTCAAATATCTACGATAACAGCATTAAAGTTGCAGATTTTGTTTGTAATGTAGCTTCAATCAAACAGAACCGCGTTTGCAAAATTCTCTACGGCTATGTTATTTCAATGAGAGAAGATATGGAATGGGATTTTGAAATCCGGGATAGTTCTGTGACAAGTGTTTGTTTTTCCGGAAAAACCCCTCATAATCTTCCAGAAAAAGCCTGACTCTCTAAATAGTTATACTTTTTTATTTGGTGCTATTGTTCTTGGTGTAGGAATTTGCAAAGTCCAAGTTTGGACTAGCTGCTTCACAAAAAAGCACAATTTTCGCAGATTTTGACTTGGCATTTGGACAAAACGACTAAAACTACTGATTTGAAATCAGTTATCATGAATTGCAATAAGGAATCCCTCTGTTATTGCGTCCGTTTAGAGATCACTTTAAAAACCCATAGCCTTAATTGCGTTAACTACATTTACAAAGTCACATGTAATTTATAAGTGCATGTATCGAAACCCATAGTCGTAATATTTCGTTATGACGTGAGCAGACATTTAGAGAAAAAGCACAAAGGTACTAATAAAAAAAGTGGTTTCTATTTGCAATTGCGAGTAACAATAAGCGTGGTTTTATAATGTGAAAATGTAGGCATTTTGAATAAGTTGAACATAATTACCATGAAAGTTCTGTAGATTTTTTGAATCTGGATAAGCAAATTTAAAAAAAATTGATAGACATAGCCTTAATTACAGACAGTTTTTGATCAAACGCCATATTTGTCCACATTTAAATCCTAAAAATCTGGTGATTTTCACAGTTTTATTGAAGCTGTAAAGCCATAGCTGTATGTGTGCATTCTAAGTCAACACCAATAACCTTTCGACTAGTTTTATCAGTTTAATGCGCACTTGAACCTGCTTCGTTTCTCAAATTCAGTAGCGTGCGAAAGTGTTTGTTCTTGAAACATTTTGCAAACAGATGAGAAGTGGCGCGCAAAATAACATTGATGTGAGAAGTTTATGCCTGACATCAACAAACCAGATCAAGGCGTCTAGTGTAGTGATCACACATGCTCTGGATACAGAACAACCGAAAAGTTTAAATCCAACAGTTCAGAAAACACGTACACCTTCATTTTTTCATTAACTTTTGAAAAAAAAGTAGTCAACATGAAAATGAGGCATGTGAAATTGGAAACATTGACAACAGGTCTTGTTCTGGTGATGAAATCTTGCCCTTTAAACTGTTTGCGCGCGTAGGAAAGGCGCAGTTTTACGCAATTTTCACTCGAATCCAAAGTTCACGCACACAAAACCTACATATGGTACGTTGTTGCGCCCAGACGGAAAGCTTTATGTCAAATGCATGCTTGTTGTTGCTGCATTAGCTAAACTTTGGTTCTGCTAATCACGTAGTGGTTTTACACTCAAATTGTGTGACTATTTACCCGCTTGTGAATTCAGAAACTTCCGACGTTTAGCAATTTTGCACAATTTCATCAGCATTTTGGGGAGTACAACAATATAGGAGACCTGATCCGCATTGTCCAAGAAATGAAGGGCATTTCATGATAGACAAAAGACAACCTGTTTGCTGTTGTGAGGCATTGTGAAATTGTGTGTTCATATATCTGTTACTGTGTCGTTTTTGGAAGCAGTGGCAGGAGGCTGTGACAAGTTCGAGAGGCATAAAATTTCACAAAGGTATTTAAATTTTATAAGTTGATTGCTCACATTGAACATATCTCCTCGTTGCATGTGCGCGCACGTTGTAATGACCAGTGCCGGCATTGACCAGCGCTCCTCAGAATTTCCAAAGAAGGTAGTTTCCATGTTTTCGTAGAGCTCTGTAGAAGTCTCAGGGCTGTCCATAAATTGGACGAGGTTGGGAGCAGTCGGGGGATAGGGGATGAGTCTAGCAATGCTTGAGAGCAGGGTTGGTCGCCTTTCGGAGGTGGAGGAACTTTTGCGTGATTCCTCGGGGCCACTGGATCCACTCTGACCGGCCTCGTCTGTTTCCTCGTCCTCAGTACCCCATAAGTTAGACATCGAAATGTCGATTAGCGATCGCGATTTTCCCTGAGGCTGTGGGGAACCACCAGTCACATCGGGATCCTCGAAGCCTCCACCCATCGAATCCACGTACTCTCCTAATCCCAGATACCCAAGACAGTCCTTCTTCTTGCTGATGTGTGTTGACTGTTGTGGTGGAGGTTGCTGATGATATCGAGTGGGTGATATCCTGGGTTCAATGTCGGAAACCTTTCCATGGGTTGTCGTGCCAGGTGGAGTTTCACGGCTACTTGAAGGGTGACGCCACCATTTGAAGAGTCTTGTGAAAGCTGTGAGTCCAGCCGCCACGTTGTTGGTGGGTTCCGTGGAGTTCTCTTTGTCGATGGAGGCGAGATTACTCATGCTCTTGGCTCCTCGTGTGGGCATGTCTATGCGCGAGCGTCGGTGGACTCCTGAAGCTCTGCTGGCGCCCTCGTGCATCGACTCAACATTCGTGCCCTTGAATCTACGGTGTCGAGCCCTGTTCTCCCGATTCCGCTCGAAATTCCTGTTGGCATTATCAACAGGCATTTTGGAGTCTAATAGTGGAAATGTGTGTGCAAGCACGAGTGTTCACGCGATTTAATTCTGCGCCTATTGAGTCATCGAGACTCAAGCTGAATTAGACCGTAGTTACCAGGCGGCATGTGCTCGCGTGCTCCTCCTAGGCATTGGCGGGATGCATTCAGTCATGTGTGGGTGACTGCACGCGCAAGCACATAGGCTGAGTCGTATGCACACACACACACATGCATGCACGCACTCGATAACTGAAGAACCTTGTGCTTAGCGTTGATTGGTCCCTGCCCAAGACAAAGGTAAGTGTACTTTGGCCACTGATGCAGCAGGAGTGTTTGCCTTGAACATCCATTTGGAGAATCTTATACATTAAAATGAGTGCGTAATGTTGCACCCGATTTAATTAATAGCTAGCTGCTCGTGTGAAGTACATATCTTAACAAGATTCTGCCTTTTTACTTATTAGTGATGAGCAATTACCAGCACTCAAATTCACTTCAAATTCAAGATTCGGCAACTAACTAGGTTGCTAAGAGTTAGCGGACAGGTCATCTCGAGGTAAATGAATGTAATTGGGCTAAATAAGCATGATTAGTCGGTTTAGGTGAAAAAAAAAGGGATTTAATTCCATCAGATCTTCTCTAGAATAACACTTTAAAAGTGTCCAGCCTAAAGCACACCGGTCCTACGCGTTGCATGTCACTGGAGTCGGTAAATAAACATGCCTTCTTGTTTAAGAACGAAATTCTGAAAAAGTGACATAAGTGTGCCTACTTTCATGATTCTATAACTGCCGGTACCCAGTTCAATCACGTGAGTACATTTTCATGGATGATGCCCTGCTATTCAGAGGTAAAAACACAGACACGAGTTTGAAAGTTCCGCGTTTTTGTATCATGGTTTAAAACAAACGCCAGGAGTACTTTAGATAGGTGCTACCTCGGCGGGCTTTCGCACTCACGTGAGCCCTGTAACTTTGCGCAATTGTCAATTCACTAGCACACAAGGGGCGGCCGATATTAGTGATCTCTTAAAAATTAACATACAGCCTTGATTAGTCCAACTGACTGCTTTCTGGATTAGCTTAGCGCTGGCACATTGACTAGAGAAATCGTGGGCTGTTTTAATGTTCAATGACGTAATTATTCTCTATTTACTCATTTACTGGGGCACTTGGGACATCAAAGACTGCACTGATGTAAATTTATCTGCGTAATAAATTCTACTTTTCCATGGTGACTTGGCACATTGGTACTGATCAACTCTTCATCTAATCACCGCTGCGATATGTCAATGAATGGCCCTTTGCTTGGGCTAAGTAAACGTATTAGTGGTTGTAACAGCCACCCGGCTGTCGGGTTGGGAAATATGGCACCCAATTTGTGAATTCATCAGTTGTAAGTGAAGGCGTTCTAGCCTTTAGTCATTTAGCTCAAAATGGCACATGAAAGATGGGGCTTTGCATGTAAATGAGACGAGGAAGGCAGAGACACACACACCCACATCAACAACACAGCTTGGAAAGCTCAAGAAACGTCACATGTTGCCTTAATTTGCATGTTTCATCTGTCCAAAAGCAAATGATTTGTGAAATGAAAACGCTGTTATTTCGGAAACCACGAGAACGTCTGCAGTTGAGTGATTGCTTCCCCAACGATTAAAACTGTTTCGGGTGTGCTATTCAAGCGAATTAACCTAGACGCCACCACTTCGGCGCAAACGCCCACGTAACTCTAATCTCAATACTCTCTTTTATTTGATTCAGTGTCTTTATATTGTTGTGAATCGGGTTTAGTCACGCCCCTTAATCCGGTCACTCCATTCTCCGACACAGGGTCCGCCTTTTCGCAGCATGTCACCAGCCGCGCGGATCCTCAACTCCCCCCTCATTCGTACGAATATTTATCTTGGATTATCCTCACACCTAGGTCTCGATGTTAGTTCATGTATGACTCACACATCTGAGGTATAAATACACGCGCGCAAATGCCACCCACGGTACAGCGGCTGTGTCCACGTCATCTCCGGTCGCTTGCTTCATCGCGGGTATCAGGGAAGGGTAGTCGGACCAGGGTCAATTCAGTGACCCCGGCTTGGTTAAAGCTCACATGCTGGGGCCCACAACAATATGTCATCCGTTGCCTCATGAAAATATCACTGTGACCTTGCCTTTTTGGATTACAATATTATGAGAAATTGATTCGCAGTAATTGAATGAGGTCAAATTCTCCAATAAAGTTAACGTCACATTTTAATCAACTACCACTAAATCACATCTCATGAGATTTGTACTGTTATCATTAAATAAACACCCTAACTTCGAAGTTTTATTGAATAAATCTACACATGTCACAACATCAGGAATAGTTGGAACAATTCACAACGTGGTTAGAAATCGGAATTCTGTGAATGTGTAAGCAGCTGTCAATATACAGGAGTAGTGGTCGCATTCACTGTTCAAAATGCCACAGCAACATCACGCTTCAGATGTTTCTTCGTCACTAGATAGTACATTAGCACACACTTCGGCGTATTTGAGTAAGCAGGCATTTCACAATTTAAAAAATCGTAAATTAGAATTTTATTGGTCACAAATGGCAGTAAAATACGTTTCGGAATGCCTCTGTGCAAACTGAAGCCGTGTGCTGAGTTCTACTTGCAACTTGATGGCATTTTGTAGGGAGTTGCGTTCTCAGAAAAGTGTTCAGCAGCCTGTACTGTTTCGTGTTTCGTTAAGCGAATTACCGGCTGCCTGATTGGCCCTCCCTGGAATTTGAAATGCTTCAAATGGAGGGACGCTGATTGGTCCACTTTAGTAGATTCAAACAAACGAAATTATAGGAACTCCAGGATATTTGTTCACACTAACATCGGTCAAACGATGCACAAGTTGTATGAAACCGACATTCACAAGCCATGCCACATTAGCAGATGCAAATGAGGTGTAAGTCATTTTCTCCCAAAAAAGTCATAAAATCGCTAGACTTCACAACTGCACTTTAAATTTGACAGATTCAAATACATCAAGGCACCTGTTAATCTTAGCAAGATTAGACGCAGCATCTGCATTCATAGCCTTTCAATCGAAGTCTTCACCAGGTAGCTTGTGGTCAAGTAGGCGTCACATCAGAGACAGAGCAAATCACTACGAAAGTGTACACTTGAGGTCGCAGCCAATGAAAATTCCGAATAATGATCACGACCAGTAAGTGTTGGTCCGCTAACGCAGCGTACCAATCGTAGTTGTTTGGGTAATGCCGATGACATGGAAGTGTGAAACAACATTCGCGTGCAATTCAGCAGTCCATGCTGGTTATTGAGGAACTCACTTTATTTCTAACCATTTCAAATTTTCCTTCCGACTATTTTTAGCATTTGCAGTTGATTCTTAACACCCACGCTTGCGCCCTCCATGAAAACAAGTGCATTCATGAAAGGAAGTTTTCAAAAGATGATTAAAACGTCATTAGAAAAGCATGGGGTGTGTTCCAGCAGTCATTAATGAAGGTAATTGGCGGTGCTTGAAGTCACTGCATTCTACCACTGATTGGTATTGCTCATTCGGAGCAAGACTTCCTCGTGAGTGCGCCGAGATTACAAAACGCACACAGTCTGACCCGGGCTGAAAGCATGTCCTGTTGAGGGGGCTGGTGGACGAAGCAGTGCCACACAACTCACTCGACTGAGTCGCATCCTCCGATCACTCAGTAGTCGGGTTGCTTTCGACGAATCCGTAGGAAAATTGTTTGCTTTCCAAAAGAAGGTGGCATCGGTGTTTCAGCCTCGTCACGCAATCAGACCCGATTACTCTACCCTGGTGCCCATGAAAGCGATGGTTAGAGGTGACATGCGCACAACTAAGTTCTATTCAATGATTTGTAGTGTCCTGAGGCGTCAGTTTATTTAGGAAAGTGTGACATTGTTCTATGAAAAAAACATCGGCCCGAGAAGTTCACACACGATGACCGACTGAATCCGTACTCGCTAACGCTTATTAGGAATGTTGTGCGAGACGGGATTCGAAATCGTTATTTGTGTGGTGTTGATTAGAAATGATTTTGTGTCCAGCGAACACTTCCTCCTCACTTCAAGCACTGACTGAAATTGCTTGCAGAGCTAGTCGAAGTCACAAATCCTTGAGTTTGATAAGAACATTCAACGAGTCTGCATCTTGGGTGCAAATAATCTAGACGGCTACTGATCAACCTTAGGGAAAACTGCACTCAAAGATGATATCTGCTTTGCAAGTGTAGCCAATCCAGCTGTCTTTTACGCGCGTTTCAGGAAATACCTCACCTGCGACTATGTCATTAAGTGTGACCAAATTCAAATGAAATTTTGCTGGTCAAATTTCGGACTTTTTTGGACTGAATAGGCTGAAAAGAAGGGCTAATCAACCGCTACAAATAGCTATTTTTTGTGTTACTTGCAAAACGCGCGTATTTAACTCCAAATTCACTTGACTTGTATCCAGCACCAGTCTAGAGAACACCAAGCTTGAAAACGACCCAATTGGACAGTCTACAGAGTCGACACAGACTCCAAAGAGCGAATCGCAGGTAAATTTGAAAAGGATCAATTAAAAAGGAATGTGTGTGTGGGCGCGCGCCGGAGGGAAATGTAGAGAGAGAGAAGGGGAACAGAGTGAGACATGAAAGGATCCCACGCAAGCACACACGTGCGCGCACACATAATTTCTAGTAAAAAATATAACCATCTCTGGTCTCATGCTAAAAGTCGGTGGCGTGTGGCGCCAGGCAACATTAAAGACCTCCTCCCCACCGCCGCATCAACGCCCTACTGCAACCCGAAGCCCTCTGTTTCGTCGATGGCCAGCGTCACCTTCTCCACGAGGGTCTCGTAGGATTTGTACGGCGGAAGGTCCAGACGGTTGAAGCACGTGTGGCTCAGGGGCAGGGAGTTGTCCTTGCCGGCGCGTTTGATCGTAAACAACTGCAAGCCGTTACTTCCTAAAACGTTGCCGAACAGTCAGTACTACTGAAAGGTAGGAAGTAGAGCCCAGAGATTCAATGGGAATACTAGAGACGCCAGTAAATTACCACCAGGTTGTTGATGCTGCTTACATTTTGAAATCCGACTTACCCATCAGCTCCTTGAAGCCACCAACCGGTAGGCGACACGTGCCGGTGACGAATTGAAGGAGCCTAACACGCTTTTCCGCGGACAGTGTACGAACAAACTGCAAAACATCAAATGGCCAAGTTAAAGTATGGCAACACGACGTTTCGATTAGACCTAACGTGGCAACATTCACACGGAAGTATCCACCTAGGTTGTCAAAGTAGAAGTCGATTGGTTGAGAGCAAATCGAATTCTATTGGTTAGGGCTACACAAAACACTGAGTGAACCCCTTCAGGAAGCCATGTTGGCTTTGAGTGCATTTGAGAGTAAAACTAGTGGGAATATGTGGTATTTTTGTACAATGGGGAGTAAGTGGAGTTTTCGCAGAACCCCGGGACGCTAAGAAAAACCACATGGGTTACGCAATTTATCGATGGGCTATGTGCGTGTGTGAAAATATAAGATCTGCAGAACACACACACACACAAAACGAGGCACAGCAACAAGAGCAAAGGACTTACACGCCAGAACCAGACAATCTGCTTATTCGTGACGGTGTAGTCCTTGTACGCGGTGTTCTGCTGCCAATCATCCACGTCAATCTTTTGCATGCCACACAAAATGAGCTGTAAAAAAGACGATTAAAGAGAATGCGAGAGAGAGAGCTACACATGTGCTGAAGATGAGAGTTTGTTTAAGGACTGGCGAGCAAAGCTGTGACGACAATGACTGAACAAACAACAGAACATCTGTTTACTCAAGTGGCAGTGCTGCAGATAAGTTCAGCAACACGAAATGATCTCAAGGTCAATTCAGACAAGATCCGAAAAGCCGCTGTGGGTTGAGACTACTGTGGTGGCGTGAACCAAGACCAAAGTTGAGTGGATTTACTAAAATGTGGCGTTAGTTGATAAACACGTCACCTGGAGGCTGTTAACGCACTTAAAAGGGCCTTTGTAGACTGCTTGTGCATCTATACGTGATTCGTGTCAACGATTTTGAGCAAAAACATTTGCACGACGCCGCGACAACATCTGAGCATATGCTATAACGAAAATATCGACCACATGAATATAAAGAACCGACAAATCAAGGGCATACAAATCGCAGGGTTGCGTTAAACGCCTTAAAGAACCACCAAAGTTGTTGTGGACGACTGACCAATCGGATTAAAGATATAAAACTGCAGAAACTAAACTCTGAATACCCCGACCCACACACCTCTAATTCGCGTTCGTCGAAGTATTGAAGCCATTGAAGAGGAAAGACATCGGCAAAACCAGTCAGAAAGGCCTCCATTTGCTCCTCCGTGCCTCGCGAAAACCGCCAGTTTACCATTAAACTGAAAAAAGGTAGGAGAACAGAAGGTTTACAGCCTAAGCAATAAATAAACCAATCGACGGAGAGAGAAGTTGACCAATAGCACGTGCTTATTCAAAATCTCGGCTGGCCAATCAGCGGCGAGAAATAAGACCACCGATCAATAAATTACGAACATTTGGTATGACACTTAAAGTTCAAGTAAGCTAATCTCTAATTATGCTTACGAAAAGGAAAATAATATTGAACCGATAGAATTGCACGCTTACATCAGTAAATGTGCGCTACTTAAGGCTAGTGAGTACAAAATGAACAGGGGTTAATCTAAGTTATTAATCAGACAAGAAGCGAGCTGATGCCAAGTGCTCAAGCTAAAGGTGGAAAACTCATTAAGTTCGTCACTTGAGGGGGCGTGTAGTCGTTAAGCCGATGCCAGAAGTGTAAAAGTCGGCACAAAAGAGGGGCTTGTGATACCTAAAGTAATAATAAATCCACACACACACACACACACACACACTTGAATTTTCGGTTGCGATTATGGCTTCAAAGCGGGCTATCGTAGTTGGGTATGAGTTGGCTATTTTAGTTTCAGAAAAAAAGTGGATATCATTGCGCAGGAGACAATTAAATTGTGACGTGAGTTTACCACATTAACGCGCTTGTGTGAGTTACGCACGTTAATTGATACAACTAAAACACTTCATTTCGTGCTTTGAATCGTGGTGTTTGCTCAAATTGACCGCCTGGACAGGTGACCAATCAGACGACAGTGATTGGTCCAATCGTGTAGAGCGCGCGTGGCGACTGGTGGATCGGGGTTCTAGCCAGGAGCTTAGAGAGCCACAACGAGGCAGCCGCGAAGGAAGTCAATTGAGACCATGTGTTGATTACGAGGTGTCGGCAGTGTTTGCCTAAACTATCAAGTTTGTGCGTATGTGTGGTTGGGTGCAATGTTTTATCTTTCAGGCGACAAATGTGAGAGTCGAAATCACAGAAAACAGACGCAAGCACGACGGAAAATTCCAGGCAATCGATACATCTACACCGGAGCAGGGGTGGCTGAATAGAATGAAAGCAACTAAGGGTAGAACGGGCGTCGAAACAACAAAAATTTGCCACACACACACATCTCCGAGCCAGGAGTATGCACGAAATGCAAAATTGGTGCAATCGCCTTACCCCAGGTACTCTTCCTTGTTCTCGTCTGTCACTTTGATATCCTTACCGCCGGGTTTGAGTTCACAGGTCTTGGTTTGGCCAAAGTGCTCGTAGTCGGCTTCAAAGTACAACTCGAGATCGGCTTCATCGATGGAATTCTCGCTGAAGGTGAGGTAAGAAACAGTGCCAATGTAAGCAGGCGCAGAATAATATCGACAAATCGATAAAGGCAACTCGAATTTCACAAATGAGAAGCTCTAGAAAAACACGTGCCACCCAACGCATCTGTGAGCGGAGGAGTGGAAAATTCATTTCTAAATTAATCGTGAACTCTGGTAGGAGAGACGCATAAAAAACCCCGGCCAGCATACCGCCATGCCGCCTGACTTAAGCAAAAGTGGGTCCACTGAGGGGGCAATTATCGGCTCTAACAATAGGCGTAACAATAGAGAACAATGATGGCTAAACTCTGACAAAAAACTGTATCAAACGCGTTAAGTCATGCTGAAAACCCCTGAAAAGTTGTTCGGTTTTAACTTGGAAGAGAGCAGGGCATCTTTCAGCTGGCATACGAGTGTGACAGGGAAGACAATCTACCGATGGCCTGTGAATTGGGTGACGCCACTACTAACTTATCAGTTGGTCAAATACCCACGATAACAAGACCGGTGGCAGAGTAGCAAACCTAGTGCGTGCTGACGAGACGCGAGAAGAAACGAAATAATCCCAAGTGGTTTGTGTTACAGTAATACTGCATAATCTGAGGCTCAGTTTTGGAATGCAGTTAGTGCCAGTGGCTTGGTTGAAAGAGAATCATAAGATTAGGTAGTCAGGTGAAGCCACCGAAATCGCCTCTGCACTGCGCGTGTGATGAAGAAGACTGGGTCACGTGATAGTGAATTCTAAGGCCAATTGCGCACACACACACACACGCACCCAATCAACGTATCAATCAACAATGAAAGGGCAAAGGAGGCAACCAATCAGTGTCCAACCAATTACACCCATTCACTGACGACTTTTCGATATACAATTTACTATGGAAACATCCCAACTGAAAATCGATTGGTTTGCGAGTCGAATTTTCGTTGGTTGGGCTAAGTTAGGTCACCCCTCATCGACGAATAAACAAGCACGGAATTCGAGCACATCAGCTGACACTACAAAGAGGATTAAGAAATGAAAACAGAAACGAAAAGTGCGAAGAATGTGGCCCCACCCAATTTCGTTAAACACAAAAAAACAAAAGAAAAAATAGCTGTCACCAACAATTTATCCACCCACAAGTAACTTACTGGATGAAGAGAAGGGAGTTGTAGTACTCTTCGTCCACGGTTTGGAGGTCCTTGAGGGAGAGAGGCTTATTTAGGAGGCGTTTGTAGAAAGGCAGCGTGAAGCCGTTGTCGATAAACTTGCCATGGAAGAGGGCCAACGCGATGAATCGGCCAACAAACCTACACAAATGAAAGAAAAAACCAATCATGACGCACCGAGAAAAATCACTAACACTAGCCAAATGAACGTGCAAGTCGACACGTGGAAAGGATTACACCAACCACGGAGGCGGTGCAGTTCAAACCGTCGAACGCAACCAGCTTACAGGATTATGTCAGGGCTTATTAGACTGCATTAAACGGGTGAAAGATCTTCTGCAGTTGTTCACTGATGTGCTAAACAAGTGCTGGTACTCTCGCACCCACAGCTAAATTTTAGAAAAAAAGTTTGTAAATTAGGAGGTTGTACGTAGAGCCACCTCCACTTCGATGAAAAAGTATGACGAAATTCGTCGGAGAGGTTAGACGCACCGGAAGTATTGAAGGTGTTCGGGATTAACGGAGGAGTTGGGGTTGATCTGGAGGGAGAAGTTGTTTCCGCTGGCGTATTCGAAGAGGCAGTACATCGGGTTGAGGAGCTGATCCGAAAGTTGGAAAAACCATTCCCTGTGTATGAGGAAGAGGAGGATAATATACAGTCAGATTAACTGATCCAGAAAAGTGCAACTAAGGTCACATTTGGGGATTAAAAGAAGGCCCGCCAAGTGACTTCAGTTGAAAGATCAAACTGACATACTGATTTTGTGTGAGGAGTCAGTGATTTGCCTTAGACAAGTGTGTTGGGTTTATCCCTCGGAATAAGTATGAGGATGCAACAACGTAGGTTTTAGCTGCATTCATGGTGCGCGCGATAATTCAATTAATTTTCTGCAGAAATGCTGCCATCTCAAGAACACAAAACTAATTACAGATGTTTGGATGCTAAATACTAAAAAATGAGAAATTTAAGGTTTGGAACGTGTTCCCACCTATCCACCACGCGAGTACTATGTGTCAAAAGGACGAAATTTAGAACAGGTTGATTTAAGTGGCATTAAAAACGAACGCAAATTGACATTCCCTTGTGTGCGACATTTGAAATCGTGCGTATACGCAAAGATGTGCGCGCGTTCAGCACACAAAATTCAAACTCTCGAGATGGTCACATTTTCACAATAAACTAATTTCATCAATAAACCAATGGCGTTTCAGAGCACTTTAGTGAGCAGTGTTAATTCACGACTCTCATGTCTGTGGTTACTTACTTCCTCCTGATCATTGTTTCTAACCCTTAAATATGAAATCCCGCACACACTTAGTGCAAAATCCGGCCAAGTTATCCCAAGTGTTTTGACCTCCCGAAATGACAACATCCAAAAAAATTGGAGATAAAGCAATGATGGAATGTGTGGAATATTTGTTGGCGAGATTTTGAGTTAAATCAGTCAAAAGTTAATCGATAACTTGTCATGTAATGACTACCACGAAGGAACAATGCAATGTTTGCGAACGCTTGGCACATTCAAGTGGGTCGGCGGATTAGCGAATCTCAAGGTAGATGGAATCCGCACGCCGAAATAATTGACATCACAGGCCCACCTGGTGTCCACAAAACCTTATCCCCACACAACCGTGTCGTGTGTCACACCTGATCGAACAGGAATTGGCTTGGACAAACTCCCACACGAGACAAACGATTACAACAAGAGGATGAGGTGTTAAGAGCAACACACCTCTGCACGCCACCGTAGTCGAGGGCTTCCTCCTCCTTGAAGGTCACGAATAAACGACCCCTGAGGGTTTGAGGGGGAATAGCGATCAGCTGGCGGAAAGAGTCGACCAGAAGGTTGCTCCGACTCACCCGAATCTCGACCTTTTGAGTGCTCGAATTGACGTGGCACAGGTAGCGGAAACTGGCGACCTTGCGATCCAGTGTCCACTGGGTCGAGTTCCTGCAAGTGAACCAATAGAGAGGTCAAAAAGAAACAGGAAATTCGGACACCCACCTCGCTGCATCCCTAGGGAAGGTGACTTACACAGAGCCTGGTTGACGAGGGTCCTTAAAGGTGGTAGTCTTGGTGTTGTGGTCGACGTAGAAGGGGAAGCCTTCAGAGGTGTAGCGCATCTCCCAGCCTGAGGGCAACGGGGCCGTGGTCTGGCGCGGATCCTCCCACTGTGTTGTCTTGGTGCGGTGGTTCACGTAGTACACCCTGCCGTTTGCGTCTCTGCGTCGTTCTGTGGAAAAACGGGAACAGGAAGTGCCGTCAAAAAGTGACAACGAACATCGCCCCCACAACGATGCCTGGACCTGAAGGGGACATTCGACATAAAACTACGTAAAGTGTACACGCACGATGCCTACTCAGCATGTCCTGAAGACACCAGTTGCCTTCCAAATGCCCCACAACGAAAGACAAAAGCACACTAAAGCCGCGAGATTTCTTGTTTAGTCACGTTTCGTTAGAGAATCAAGCACAATAGATTACGTCTACGAAACCGACGTAACACGTTGGACCACAGAAGGCGACGGTAAGTTGACACTGTTTACGCAATACAAGACAAAATGACTAGGCACGAATTTAACAATGAACAGAGCCAACGCTGTCGATTACCTAAACAAGCGGTGTATTCCGGTGCTAACCATCTTCCCAGTTTGGAGGCTGGATCACATGAGTCAAGAACGGGCCTTGAAGTGCGCATGGGGCGTAAAATGTGAAAGAAATGCAATCCACGCAACGAATTACTGAAAAAACAAGTGACAGTGTGGCTTTACGATCGCATTTTCTACGGCGTATCATCATTGGTCCGCAAGACATCGCCACTGCTTAACTCGATACGAAGTCGGCAAGTTGGGAGCCGACTTCACCCGCAGATCCGCACCGACCGAGCCGGTACTTCACATTGAGAAATCTCTTCAACCAGTCAATTGCCAAAACTTTACAGTGAGATGTGAGTGCAGCATTTATCCTTTTATCCTAGATACATTCGTCTTCAATTTTACGCACAAAAAGCACATAGTCCAAGTTGATTCTGCATATTTGTCGCTTACGTTTTAGTGTAAGGTCTACAGTTGATGTTTTGGATTTCACGTTTGCTTTACTGAACGATCTGGAAAGTCCTCTGTACTTTTGGGTCAAACGTCCAGTGCTTCTAACACAACGCTACCAAATGAATCAAACACCAATTCGGCTCCGGACGTTTGGCGACTGAACAAATTCAGGCCTCAGCAGGCTCTAACGAACTAATGTTTGGATCATTCCCAGAATCTTCAGAGCACAAAAGCACTTAGTGTTAGCTTAACCGTTTTAAACAAGCGGAATCGTGATTTGGGCAGGACCGCCAAAGCAGCGACAAGGAGCAGCCGGTTGCATTTGAGCAATGAATCAGAATCAATCGGGGGAAAAAGACAAGATGGCGTTATTGTCAGCAAGAGAGAAGAAAATTGAGACAAGAAGTCGACCAGGCATGGCAGTTTTGTGGACTTTTAAGTCTGTGCCAGCACGTGACACGTGATTTGTGCATGCACAAGCAGTGCTTCATGAGGGCGCGTGTGATTTGAAGAAATCAAGCCTCACACGTACCCGCAGCAAAGACGACAAACCCATTCTCAAATTCTGCCACACAATTTGTGCGCGATCGTGGAGTCGCAAACATCCACAGAGCCGCACACACACACACCAAACTCACCAAAGCCCTCAGGAAGGGGGCCTAGACTTTCGGGAATGGAGTTGGGATGGCCGCCGGCCCACGCGGACGACGCGTACACCTCGGACATTTGATTGCGCATGTTGCCGGCCCGCGTGTCGTACCACTGACGCCATCGCACGACGTTGTGCAGGAGGTTCTCCGAGGGAGGGTGCCACGTGGTTGTGCGCATGTTGTGGTCTACGTAGTAGACACGGTTGTTCGCGTCCACACGGCGCTCCCATCTACACGAGCAAAGAAGTCACAAGTACTAACTCCACAGAAAGCAGCGAGATTGGCCTAAACAAGGACCTCAGTCACGGTACTGTATAATTCGCCGCAACTCTTGAACCCACTTTCAAGCACCAAAGCCATTCGGACAAGGTGACGCAAGAAAACACTGTTGACAGGCGATAATCCAGCCGCCAACACTTCCTGCCCCACATCTATTCATTAGCTAAGACAAAATAAATATAAGGACAATAAAAATTGGGAATCAAGATCCACAATTGCAACTTAGGGAAAATTGGAAGAACGAAATCAATAAATGTGAAAATCGGGCATTGAGGTGAGAAGTTTTAGCATGAGATGTGAAAAGACTTGAATATACAAGCGTTGCCAAGGCAACAAGAGTGCATTCGCCGCGCATACAGTGTCGGTGAGTTGTTAACGCGCGGAAGCGTTTGCAAAGAGTGTAGGCAAAGGAAATGGATCTGTGGCGAGGATTTTTGCATTTATTACCTAGAAAAAAGTCAGCCGAAAAGTGGAACGAATCGAGCAGCACGATGAATGTGCTGAACCAACCACAACCGAGGAAGACAAGGGAGTGAAAACACACTTGCGGGTGGTACAGGAGAAGTAATTATGATGCAAGCAAAGAGGCACTCCAAGGTGTGATGGAAAAAAAGCGACGATTTCAGGGTGGTCAATGAAGATGAGTCAACCAACACTAATACCAAAACTAAAGAGAGTAAGAGATTAGATTCTTTAGCCTTGGGAGACTAGACAAGTAGAAGCATCAATTAAGTGTCAGCGCATTCAAGAGGCATTTGATGAATAACATCGAAATTAGGAGTACCAAAGCATCGTTTCCTAACTCCACACACTTCCGGAAGTAATTAGCATTTAAGGAGCATGAAAGAAACACAAAACAGCAAGTTATCGATCAGCGCTTACTCACGGCCTTCCAGAAAAGCCGTAGCGGAATGGGGAGGGTGATAAAAGTCGCGAAAAGACTCACCCGCTGGGAAGAGGCTGAGGCTGTTCCCATTGAGTTTGACGGGTCAAGTGGTCGACGTAGTAGGTTCTGCCTGTAGCGGGGTCGACCCGGCGCTCCCAATGGGGTGGAAGGCCCTCGGTGTCGGGCGAGGCGTGCGTCGCGCCTCCGCCATCGCTGCCGCCGCTGGCACCCCCGCGAGGCCGACGTGGGACTGCAGGGGTGCTGCTGGCGGAACGCGGCCCCTCGTTCCTGGTTGTGGGCGTCTGAAACGCGAGAGATGGGACTTGACGTTACCCCAGATGACAGAGTGATATCTGGTCCAAACTCACGGCGTGAAATACTTTTCCACATTTCCTCGCAGAAGAAAAGCCACATAACTACTTTTGAGACTATTCACATGATCGTTTGACTCTGTACCTAGTAACTGTGACAGACTGTTCCATGAATTGGGGATCCGAGGCTGCTTATTGACAAAACAAAAAAAGCATTACTCGGGAATACAGTTTGAAAAATATCGAAACGGAAGGTTGCAATTTCAACGGCCTAGTTAGCACATCACAGCCGCGCTGTGCTACAAAAGCCTCTCTATTTAATTGCGTTGTTGCCATGGTGAGAAACAGGCGGGGTAATTGCACCCGAAAGTATTCCCGACTCAATGGCCTCAGTAATGGCGTCAATGTGACACTTTAAAAAGCCAAAACGATGGAGAAGTGTGGGAGAGGAAAAGAGGTGTTGGGGAAATAGGTGATGGGGGTTTAACACCTACTGCCGATCTGCTCAAATGGGCAGCGACAAGGGCCGCGTTGACTGCGCGTGAGCTGGCACTGAGGGAGAGGTACAGCGTGCCAAGAGCCGACGGCGTCGAACCATCGGTGGTGGTGTCCCCAGGCAGTGGCAGGATATCCAGAGCGAAAGACACATCCTCTACTATAAAAATGAGAAAGTGAGTAGTGAGAAGCAGGTTAGTGATTGGCTGCACCACGGAAGTCACCAACCAGCATAAAACAGAGTATCAGGGTCTAAAAAGGCCGCAGAAATCGATAATCACCTCTGACTATATAGCTGATGTTAGGGCCTGTTCGTGTCGTTCGCAGATTACCAACGACCCAAAACGATTAAACGTTTCTAGGCGGTAACAGTAGTTGCGTGGACAAAGCCACCTCAAACTAGACTGGTGTCTCTCTATGAGCATTGTAGTCTTAAAAAGGGTTCGGCCTAACTAGTAGACCACATATTCACCAATAAAGCACTAAGAGGGCCGTGTTTAGCCTCTATTAGTAATTGCCTCCGTAAATTAAAAAAATACATGCGTAATCGGATCCAAGGGGTAAAAACGGTATCACAGCTCGAAAAGGAACCAATTAATACCACAGAAAGCAGAAAGAAAATTCAATTTGCCCCCATACGCTCAGCAGCAATCACTTAGCGTTGATGTCTTTGATCCAACAGGGGTGATGTCAAACACAACTAGCTTGTTATGATTAAAAACCAGTACTTTTGAGGAGGAAACTTCAAAAGTCACAATTTTCTAAATACAACTAAAGACAATTGCATTTCCTCAAAGCGTAAGATAAACTAACGGCTATTTCCGTGATGTCGAAGGGCATCTCGAACAGACAATCGAGAGTATCCAACGACAAGTCCGGACCCATTGTTGTGGTTCATATGCGCCGCAGACTGAGACACAACCCGAAATTCGATTTGGGAGTTAGTTGAGATGGTAAAGTGAGTCTTTGAGCTAAAGTGAGGGCTCCATCCAGACTTAGTGGGAGTCATACCCCGGTTTGAGGTCATGTGTTGGGTGTTTGTGGGGCAATCTGATGGTGGAGGCGCGTCCCAGGTTGTAGTGTTGTAGTCCACACGAAAGAGCGGGCCGCGCAGTCGTGAAAGTGCATTTGACCTATTGTGCTTGTGTATCTTGGCACTCAGTACTAGTGAGATAAGGAAAACATGTAATTGAAACATTACCACTGGAACAAAGTATTTGTACAAGCACACCCCCATTGCGTAAATTTATTTGGGAGAGTTCAAAAGATGCTCATGTCAGCTTATGTCCTTCGACCTACATTCACAGACCTCGAAAAGTGGCAAGAATCTGAATTAGAAAACTTGGCGTAGAATACCATGGACAGTGGTAGCACTAGTTTAAGTGTAAAAATCAAATCAGCGTTGAGCTAAATGACACTACAGACAGCTACAAACCCGTGTAAGAACAAATTATAAGAGGCTGTGATGATAAGAGCGATTGAGCCGAACCATGAGGATGGGCACCACGAATTTTGGCGAGATAAGATATTTGTCATAATATTCCCTTAGAATAACAAGAATAAATACGAAAAGGATTCAGGTGAAAAATTACTAACTTTTGACCTTCAATTTGAATGTAGAATGGACTTCACCATTATCTTGGTGCGTTGGCATATCCTGCAACATAAGTAGATTTAGATAAGGAATTATAAGGATGGCTTAATTGTCGACACACAAAATAATGCCAGAAATGTCAACACTTTTAGTTTTGAATAAGGTCGAAAGAGGTGAAAGTTTATTTTAAAAGAGTATTAAACTTAGATTGAGTAGTCAGATGTGTAAAAAAACACAGCGACCACAATGTACACCTACAATCAAATTAGAATGAACCTGCATGTAAGCATAAAGGTGTGTTCTACTTACGGAACTAAATTTAAATGCAAAAAAGCCAAAACAATGCCAGCAAAAAAATAATCCACTGGCCAGCATTGAGAAAACATTTCAAAATATGTTATTCGTTACGAATGAGGGTCGATAGAAAGGAAAGCAAATCAAATATGATTGGACACAAATCGTAGTAGGCACATACTTTTAAAGAATAATTTTTTTTGAGGCATTAAATGTAAAATGTAAATTTCCTTTTATCAGAAGAGGTCATTTCGTAAAACCTCACGCAAACGTATACCAAATTGGGATGTTTGTGATAAATGAGGTATTTAGTAAGAAGAAATGTGCACACAATGGTATTTAAGTGACTAGGAGTAGGTCATACTTTTTGCTAATTGCCGATGTCGTAGCGAACACACAGACAAGGTAAACGTACGATAAAGCCGACGCTCATGACGTAATTCACCGTTATAAAGGGGCTTCCGCGAACCTCAAACACTGGTTGGTGTATTCAATTATACCACAGATTACAGTTTATATATTAAAAGCCTATTATTTCTGTTAAAATTTAAACCTTGAAAAACAATAAATGAAAAGATTTTTTAATTGCAATGTCTGTTTTCAAATAAACAATCTTTCAAAATTGAAAAGAAAATTACAATGTGCCCAAAAATAGTGACTTGAGAATAATTATGCGTTTATTCATTCGATCATTAGAAATGCAGACAGCAGTTGATGATAATTCATTCAGTTAACAAAAACAGATTGAATTAAGAAAAATTAAATGCATTTTCTAGTCTACTTTTGAGTGAATCACGAATTTATTTTTGGGCAGATGCGAATGTGTAAATGACTGACGGAGGAATGTACCTCACAGATATTTAGGTTGTATATAGATATAATATTAGTATTTTGGATTGAATTACTGCAAAAAATAATTCTGCAATGGTTTTTGCGCATTACCGGAATCTAAGATCACTAATTGGTCTTGGATCTCTGCCTACATCGGCATTATTGTTGTTGACTGAGTTACAATACTTCGTGAATAAAACGTCTTCCAATGTTTATTGTTTTTAATGTCTTCAAGTATTTCGTAATTATTCCTCGTCCTTCATAGGTGGTACCTTGGATGAGTCAAAACGATAATTTATGGGAAAACAAAGCAATAACTTTTTGATGAACACATATGAGACCAAGTATTGACACCCATACCTTTTGAAAGGCAGCAGTTAGTGCATTTTAGCAATAAGGTGTCAAGCATGTTGCAGCCGTTGTCAACGGGTAGCACTGGCAAAGCGACATATAAATGAAGACAAGATAATGACATCTGATTGAATTTAGGTCCATTCTTTAAGCAAAATTATGCGATTTTTCTTCAAATATTATCTGAATTCGTATATGGTATATTCGGATATTAAAGTAGCTAGTGCTTTCAATCCTTTCTAACGAAGAACCATTTTCAGTCACTTTTTTAATGCATTTGAAGAAACTGAGCTGCCTGTCATGACTTGAGAAATCCATTCACGAACTTTTACAATTTTAATTGTAGGAATGAGAAAGGTTGGGCCACACCCAGTTCAAGTTAATAAATTGGTGCCTATGAAATGAATCGTCCATGGCAGTCACCTCAGAAATAATTCCTTATTAGGGAAAGGGGAAAAGAATCCACGAGATTTTTGTTTATCTCTTTCAGAGCTAAAAATTTTTGGATATTTTAAGACGTCTGCGCCCGTGTCCTAATTTAACCCACCCCGCCTCCGTTCAAGTATTTATTTACAAGTTTGTCAGCAAAATGGACCGAAGTAAAGCATTCGAATTGCTTCTATCCATAAAATTTTTTTGAATAAAACGGTTTACAATTTCTTTATTTCCCTCTCGAAATGTTAACTTAAGCAATACCTGTCATCATATTTCGGACTAGGAGGATTGGATAAGATTCCTCAATAAATTTCTCCGGAAAACTGGTTTGACTTGGCTACATAAAGGTTACTTAAGCTCGAATTAGAGGCGTTTTGTCAAAGCTAAGGTGAAAAACTTCTGGAATCACACCCAAATTATGTTCTCCCATTAATCCAGACTTCAGCCCTATGGAAAAGATCTATCACACTGGAGAGACTAACTTCTGAATTCAAATGAATAAGCGTCTTTTGGCACCAAAACACACCTACTATTTACAATCCTATTCTGAAGAATTAACTCTGCATTAAAACCTTCATAAACCACTTGGTTTTTGGCAACTTGCATTTAACCAGTTCGACAATCTGTACGTATTCGACAATCAAAAGTTTAGTGGACACCTTGCTCCAGAAAGCACCAAGGAAACATGCTGCTAAACACATCTGCCAATTGGTTTTTTCAGTATTTGCCGTTGACATATTATTTATGGTTTTTCGGACTATGCTCAGGTTGAACTACTTCCTTTTTAAAAAAATACATAATTTCCACAAGCTTTTAACACACCTTACCTGTTGGGACAAATCGAAGTCCTTCTTTTACACAAAGTTAACTGACGCAATTCCTACGTAACGTGCTGCGCCTTACTACGCGTTCCACTTTGAAGGAGGAAGTTAGCTGGCTGTCCTACTAGCTGAGCATGAGTAACTAGAAAGTACTTTCATAAGTATCTCGTGTACAGCCACACAAACGAATGCTATGACCCTACAAACAACTAGGCGAGAAAGAAAGAACACATAAGTAATGTTGCATTACATATCGACTGGGTATTGCAACTAGGACTAGACAGTCCATCGTAGTCTCTCGGGCAATGAATCGAAACTTCTGCACACAACCTCACCGAACACAGGCACTACTTTGCTGTCAACACCCATAAATCAGTTAGGACTTTCCAAACGGGCGGCTTGGCACCTTGGGATAAAACAAGCCTGGTGTTATTTGAGTTTCAAAAGCGCACTCAAGCATTGGTGCGTTTCACAAGAGGAAGGCAATCTCACGTGTCATCACCCCAGCAAGTCAGAAAGCACTCTGTGTCACCCAACTCGATAAAAAAGACATGGCCTGAGCAGATTGCTGGTTTATCGCCGCCACCTCAGGGTAGTGTACATCGGAAAGAAATATAAATCAGTTGAACGGAAACACATTCTGACTGACGGTAGGACCTATCCGAATGGTCCCCCTGAGCCCAGTCCGCCGAAGTTGCCGGACTGAAGCTGTCGGAGGACGCTCTGGAGGCCGGCTGCGCCGCCCATTTGGTGGAGCACACGAGGATCCATTGCGCGCGCCATGGAGGCCTGCAGTTTGGCCATTTTGCCCGAATTCACGGAGCGCGCAGCAGCGGCCATTTCGGAGAGGCTCGGCTGCTGTCCGCCGGAGCCACCGCTTCCACCGGATGAGGCGTTGGGCATCTGCTGGAAAAGGCCGTTAATGCCACCCATCTTCTTCACCACCTGAGCGAACTTCGTGTGCTGGACGAGAAGCTGCTTGACCTCGCCCTGGCTCACGCCTGCGCCCCGCGCCACGCGCTGTATCCGACCTGGCTGGCGGTTGAACAGGCGAGAGCCATCGTCGGAGTCAAGCTCGTAGTCGTTCATACTATCCATTATTGTCATGAGACGTTTCAGTCGACGATGGCTCTCCTGAAATAGCATTCACATTTACCTGCACTTCCACCGCACGGCTAGAGACCTTGCAGCTACTGCGATCAACTCAGAGATAATGACCATTTACTAGACGATTAGCTGTGGTAATCGTTTCCCTCCCAAGTGTTGTCTGACTAAACTACTTGCCGCGCTCACTTTTCAATACCGGTCATCACGAGTTGGCGTTTTAATATGACCTCCGACTTTTAACACCGAAAAACCAGTCGCAATATTATTTATGCGAGTTATGGAAAAATCCGATACCAGCATAACTGAGATCACATGCGTGAGTTCGCCCAGAATTCTCATTTGACAAAATACATACTGCCTAAACTAAAAAACACCGATTTCCACGATTTCCTTTGCGTACTACAAGCCCTAGTTTAAGTAGTTGGGATCAACTGTAATCAGTGGCCAATTGAAAAGGGGGGCGAAACTAGAAAATATTTCATGTACAGAAAGCTAGGATGACAGAGGACTCACCCGATCGTTAGTGAAGAGTTCTTGCCCGAGGCCAGGAATGGATGAAAGTACCGCGGAGAGAGGGCCAATTTTGAGTATGTTCTGGAATTGCTCATACATGCTACGCAGGGTGAAAACACCTTGTTTCAGCTTCTTTATCAACTCTTCGTTCTCATCGAATTTCATGTCTTTCACCTGAAATTAAGACGGACATGTGGGCACTACGGCAGGGACGAAAGGGCATACGCACTGGGTTAGTTCGGGTAAGTGGGGGAACAGTATGCATAAGGGTTCCATTCCTACCGATGATTGTTTTCCAAAACATCACCTGCTGACGTAAGCACCCATGGGTTTATAAAGTCATGCTGGCCAGGCTGACATAACCAAAAGTATAATTCTAACTAAAAACTTCATATAGGCAGGCTTGACGGAGCCCAAAATATGCACGAGAAAAACTGACATGGTGAGCAACTACGTGGCTGTCAGCGGCCCAGACACTCAGAGATGAAACGAAGGAAACAAGACATACCTTTTCAAATAGATCCTCGAGGTCACCAAGTCCAAGTAGTTTTTTAACGAAGGGGTGCACCCGGAACGGTTCGAAATCCTCAATGTGCTCACCGGTACCAATAAAGATGATTGGGCTATGGGTGGCAGCGACAGCACTTAGAGCACCACCACCTAAGACAGAAGTGTGGATACAAGCAACAAAAGACACGAAAGTAACTAATACGACGCTTTGATGAGGCCTAGATTGAGGTAGCATTCACCAAACTACTGAACGAATGGAAGATAACCCCCAGAGAAGCCAGATTTGGCAGTTAGATAATGGAAAAGCCACCGCGTTTAAGTAAACGAAAAAAGAATATACACACCGCCGAGAGCGAGGGGACTAGATAATGCTTCACCAGTGGTTGATAAAGAAAAAAAATCCCGATTAAAAAATCATCTTTTATGAGACCATTTCGACAACATATTAGGAGGTGCATTAACGAATATAGAACATGATAAATTAAGTTACAAGAAGCTGACCTTTAGCGTGGCCGTCAAGTTTCGTCACAATTACGGAAGCGACGTCTACCATCGACTTGAAAGCGCTGGCCTGTGCCTCACAAGCCTGACCAATTGAAGCGTCCATGACATAAATGACATGGTCTGGGTTAATAGCATTTGACACCTAGTCAAAAATAACATACGGTAAAGGCTCGAGGTGATTAAGTCGATGAGAATAAAAGTGTACGAGGTACCTGAAGCATTTCTTCAAACAAAGCCTCCTCTTGCTTATGTCGACCGCTAGTGTCCACAATAATTATTTCAAATCTTTCCTGATTAAATCTTTTGACACCATCCTTGGCGATTACAGCAGGATCTGGTTCGGTGTAGGAGCCGTAGTAGGGTATCCGGGCTTTTGTGGCATTTTGCTTTAATTGGTCGAATGCACCTGCACGATAGGTATCGGCGCATATCAAACATGTTTTCCACCCCTTTTTCTGATAGTGGTATGCGAGTTTTGTAGCAGTGGTAGTTTTGCCACTACCTTGCAATCCAACCAACATAATTACGTTGCCTTTTCCTTTTGTTGGTTGCCATGCTTTCACCTGAGGATCAACTATTCGAACCAATTCATTGAACACAGCGCTTTCTATGAGTTTCCTTTTATTAACTCCAGCGGCAAGCTCGTCAAAATTGATCATGGATCTAACATTTTCTCGCAACTGCTTGACAAGTTTAATATTCACATCCGACTCAATGAGAGCAGTGCAGATTTCTTTAAGAAGGCCATTAAGAACATCCTCGTTAATTATCGTAGCATTTCCAAGGCCTCTTAGAGCAGAGGTAATTTTACGACCAAGTTCGGCTAACACCATTTTGGCAGAATTGTACAAACAATTCCAACCTGGAACACCACAAATGAACCAAAGTTAGTCGGTGATTGGCTAACACGTCAGAACGTGGCAAGTGACGCCTCCACAGTATTGGATAATGTTAATGATGTTAGTAAACTACTTTACTAATTAAAACCCATAACAAAATGCCAAAAATGCATCAAACAGCTTTTAACCCGAAGTTAGAATTTAATAATTTTACTATATAACACAATTAGCAACCGCAAACCCATGAATTTTGACTTTTGACATAAACTGTGTCTGGATGTTTTGGAAAACTTTAGGGTTGCCCCTTTGTTTGCATGAAATTAATATCAACATATTTTTTTATTAAAAAAACAGTTCATGGATGTGTGAGTTGCGCTGGATATTCGCGACTAAATAAAAACCAGCCACTGCTGGTTCAGATGCAAAATTTCACATTTAATTTTTTGAATACATGTGAGTAGTTTGCAAGTTTCAGTGTTTTTTTATATACAAGTCTTATCGTATTTCTGAGCACTGTTTGATTCGATGTTTGCATTCTAAAGAGAACCGACAAGTGCCACTTGCCGATTTCAGGCTTTAGCAAAGCCAATTCTTTCGCCTCAAAACTTCGGCTTCTACCAAGAAAGTTAATCATTTTTCTTTTTTTTGACCTTGAGATGTAATTTTTTTTTCAATTGGAATTAAGCGAAAACAGATGCAACAAATTTGTCTCACAAAACCCTTATTGACTTGGGTTTCAAGGTTTTAATTATGTAAAATGCACTCAAATTGCAGTGATTTTTTTGCTTCGATGCATTCGCCGAGTGCGCTTTATTCATTACTGCCCAGAAGGCCTAACTTCTCCAAGGATTTTTAAGTGGTTGCTATATATTGCATTGTCTATCAATAAAGCTTGATTCTGGGGGAATGTTTTCAAGTACCTTGGTCCAAAACTCTAACTGCCTAATTTGTAAGGTTTACTGCATAGAATAAGGCTAATTTCAGACTATGATTAGAAACAAGTTTTGTCCTTATTGCCCTGTACCGACAGCCATATTAAAAAAAATCATTGGACATGGTTGAAGAATGGTGCAAATATGCCTGTCTAAGCAGTCGTTTAAGTTTAAAACAACACTTTAAAAACATTTTAGTAGCTTGAATAATACGACAGCACCACGTTGGTAGATAATCGGGATCGTATATATTGTTAAAATAAGGTTTAAATGTTTTATAGAATGCAACATTGTTCTAGTAGCAAATAAGCTTTATTTTTGGTACGGTAAAAAATAAAAAAATCAATTAGAGGGTTTTATAAGTTGTAAAGTCATTTTCATAAGTGCTTTTTTAAGTTTAAGGAAAGTTCATGACGTTATACTTAAGTGCATTTAGTAAATTTTTGGGTTCTTTACTAAGGATTTGGTCTAGTCACAGCAAAAATTTTAGTAAAATAGAAAACGCTTGATATGCATTCATTGGTTTTTACTCTCGCTATCCACGTGTTTTTCTGTTTGATTTGGACGCCCTAATCGGTGACTTTAATTTTTAGCCCAATTTAATTCGCAAATGCAATCCGAACACACATTACGTTCGGTTTTTGTGCAAGTTTTGGAGAATTATGAAAAATGTAAAACATTTGAAGGTCCGTCAACTGATACTAAGTTTAAAGTAAGTAGACAAATGTTTGTTCATATTCAAACATTTTTTGTATACCTTCGTGTGATGTTGCAACTTTATGCCTTATCTATTTTTATATACCCTAATGGCAAGCGTCTTCAATTTGTGTAATCATATTTTCCAGTAAACTTGCTTGAGGGTAAAGATGGATAATGGCGTAGGAAAAAATACGCGATCTCTTGTAATTTTTAGCAACTTATTTTCTCTCAGTTTTTTTAAATTTTTCTAAGGTATTAGTCAGTCAGGTTATCTTTTAAACTGTTTTTCTTCTAAGCTTAAGACTAAATAAACTAACTAGAATCTTGAATGCCTTAGGAGGTAATCTTAAAACACTAAATCCGTTCCTTGGAGGTCGTATTTTAAAAAGTTGTAATTTTTGTCCTCTGGTAGTGGTTGAATTCCTGAATACTTTATGATTGATACTCATTTACCTTTAAATTTTTGCAAAAAGTAATTTTAGGCTTAATATTTTGAAGATTTTCATAAAGCACTGCAAATTAGAGCCTTCAATGTCTCAACGTCTAACGGTTGAATGCTAGTGCGTTTTTACACGTAGGAATTAATACAATGCGGCTGCTCTACATGCCACGAGGCCATACAGATGGTGAATAAGTTGGAGTTATTCAGCAAGAACGAGACCCTCGAAGATCTCTCAACTGCCTCTATTCGCTACCTCACTCTCCCTGCCTTCCTCGGTTTTTTCACAAGTCAGAAGTCGGATAGGGAAGACCGATTGAGTAATCTGAAGCTTGCGCAGGTTAGGACGCGCCTACGGCAACATCATTTTTAGACGTTTTATGAAGAGTTTCTTGACGTAGCCGAGAGCTACCACATTCCCGACTTACCTGCGCGCCGGCCTCAACTTGAAGCTCCTGCGTAAGTTGGTTGCTCATTTCCGTGAGCAATGCGGACTCCAGTTCATTGCTGTGTGCATAGCACAGATTAGTAAAGTTGCCATGCACTAGAATCAAGCGTGAACATTGCCAATCCACTAATTTCTGAACTATTGGTTTTGACATTTTTTGTCATTTTAGTGGAGGAGATCAAGCTGCCAGGCCACAAATCGCGCGCAAAGATCCAAATGCATTGCGTGAAGAGAAAATTAGGTCCTTCAAGGAGAAGAGGGCGCTGGAAAAACGTCTCGGGAATTTTCTCGCTCTGGATTCTTCAAATGTCGACGATGAAATTCTGGTAGGTGCTTTCTGCGAATTGAATTTGGAAGAATTTTAGTTTAACCAGGAAATTATCTGAATCTGAACGTATTTGACGACATTGCTGTCGTCTTCAATCAATTGGCTTTTATTTGGGATTTGTGGCATCTTCGTATCACTATTGGTCAAATGTCTTTAGGGTTTAATTTGCTTATATAAATCAATATTCATGTCAAAGTAAACTTCCATGCCTGACTGATCCCTCAAAGAACTTAGTTTTATAAGGTAATCCTATTTTTAACATTGCTAGTGGGTAATTCGAAGCAGTGTTACTGAGGCAACCGTGAATCATAGTTGAAGGAAGTCTTAAAGCAGCCTTCAGTGGCTGTCTGACTTTTTCCTGCAACTGTTCTCCGTGCGTCGTATAGAATTAATGTCGCTGTTCAACGCAGAAGTAGAAAGCGGGATCGTGTTGATGGAATTTGGCATCAAGGAGTTCGGTCCGCTAGTTTCTGGGCTTGTAAGATACGAACTACCTACCCGTTTCTAACGCCTCTCCTACCTGTACGCGGCTTTCCTATATAATTTAGCGAGAGGAGAGCCTGGCCCTGGTGCGTTACTGGGCCTACACAGCGGTAGAGGAGCTGAGGCTAATTACTGAAGAGATGGCCATCGTGTCGCGTTTCAACGCCTCGGGTGTTGTGCCAGAAAAGGACAGTGAGACCTCCAAACCTGACGCGAGGCCGCGTCAGCCCCCCTTGCTCATCACTCGCGAGCGGATTCGTGCTGCGGTCTTCGGAGCCGGCTACCCCAGTGTGCCCACCATGACCTTGGACCAGTTTGTGGATCTTCAAGTAGGCTTGCTCCCTTGCACTGTTCCACGCGTCCAATAGAACTCCGGACGTGGTTGTGGGCTACGCACTGTTGCCTTCTTTCAGGTGCGTCAGGGTCTGATGCCACCACCGCAGTCTAGGGGTGACCGGTCTGTCGGTAGCTCCGACTGGCGGCGCGTCGACCCCACCGACGATCAATCGCTGGCGGCGGCGGAGGAGGAGAAGGCGGCGCGGGAGGACGCCCTCTCGGACGCCCATTCCGAGGCTCAGAGGGCGCAGGCGCGTGATTTCGATGCCTTCAAGGACGAGCATCGTCGGGGCTCTGGCAACCGTGCCAATCGCGCCTAACTTGTCGCAAACACAAGCACACACACGCGCATTCGCACACACGCCTCCTTCTTTGCCTTTTGGTTTGGTGACTCCTGTATTGATTGCTCAAGGCCCGGATGTCCCCTTTTTCAATTTATCTCATTAAAAAGAGGGGAAATATGGTTTCGTTTTGTTTGTACACTTCCCTCTAACGCTGTTTGCATGATTTTCGTCTAGGTGTAAGACCGCTAGCTGATGCCTGGTAAGGGAATGGTGGGGTGGGTGGCGTCAAATGACATTTTTATGCTTAAAAACAACAATATTTGGTAGTTAGACCTTGGAGGCACGCGTTGCGTGGTAGCAATTAGTCAGGCGTTCAGTGAGTTTCGTAATCAACGCTGTAGGTATAATGAGGTATTAACGCTTTCATTTTCCCTCACAGCGTAAGCGAGTTGAAGCCATAGAGGTCGAGGAGCCGGCGTTCATCAAGCGGTTCCGCGAGCAGTCTGGCATGCGGCCGGAAGCCAACATCAAGAGCAAGGTGATCCGCGTTTTTTGCTGCACACCGTCTACTTAAATCATGTCAGTAGCTGATATTTTCATTTCCAAAAGAGAGCAAAGCGCGAAGTGGCTACTGGCGATGACTTTCGTGACCGTGAAGACGAGGCACCGCAGGTTGTTGCTGGCGTGGGTGTTTCGGAAGAGGAGGCGAAGAAATTCGTGGAGGAGAACCTCGCTAGAAAGCGACCAGAAGAAAAAGCCGACGCAGAAGCAGCATCCCACGCAGATGACGCCGAAAATTCGGGTATTTTGAGTACTTCGTTGACTTAAAAATTCGTAGGTGTCGAGCGGACAGGTGTGAGTAAGTTTTTTTCTGCTGTTTTAGGCAAAATTCTTTTCCGAAAACCCAAACCCCGAAATAACGAATCAAATGAAAAGAAATCCGGAGCAGGTAAAGCCACTATGGAGAAATTAAAGAAGAGAACGAAAGACGACAAGAGCAAAGAAAGTGGAACTTTGTCTTTTAGCTATGATGATGATGATGATAATGATTGACGGATTTCGGTTTTTTATACGCACATGTATTTTGTATTGATTTTCGGACTTTGAAATGAACCCGTGTCTCGATTCTTTCCGTCCTAGGTGTTCTCGGGAATCGTTCAATCTTCCAATGATGCTTTTCACCCCATTAGGAGAAAGAATTTGGTGATTAATTACTTCTTTACTTTGCTAGTCCTACTTAAGTTGTATTCAGTAGTAAAAAGCTAGCTAGATGCTGGACACGTTGACCACGACACACCTCTTGCACCTCCGAGAACACCACGACATTTGGCATGTTCCCTGATGCGATCTCGCGCACTGACTTGTCTTTAACCGCAATCCGTGATTTCCAAGGTCACTTCGTAATCTGCCCAATTTGAACGATGGCGCCAATTGTAATGAGCCAATGAAAACCTTTTTTGGCAGTCTTGTTCCCTGATTACAGTGGTCGTCAATGAATTGTTGTGTCTAACTGGTCCTGTAGTGTACAAAACGCGTTCCTACTCGGGTTCTAAGTGTTAGAAAATCGCTACATTCTGTAAGTTGGAGTCATTTACTTTGGTGTTTGAGTCACAAAGTCTCCACTAATCCTCAATCAAAAGGCTTCGCGACTTAACCGATGATAAAAGTGCGGTAATCTGCTAATTTAAACAAGAACGCCATGTTTGAAAAGAGTTGAAACGATTAATGTCATGAAACAGCTGAATGCCGCTGTAGATAGTTCGGATAACCGTCAATGTCATGAATAAATGCCTTGAAATTTTAATAAACAGACAATAGTTTATCTGGGATTCAAAAAGTATATTCAAATTCGGCGCAAACTCCACAAATCACGTGATTACCTTTAGTCAGCTGGTGCGACAGACGCGCGCCCAGGCAAACTCGCGCCGTTCAAATCAGTATTGATTGGTTGCAGTTTGGAGTGGGGTGAAGTTCGCTAGCGGAGTGGGAGAATGAGCGAAAAACTCGCCTACCCTTACACGAGGCCCCGAGGGCCGATCGGGGCCATGAACCGGGGCCCCGGGCCCATCTACATGCTGCCACCGTTGCTGGGCGAAAAGGACCACGACTTCGAGAGCATCCACAACAAGGCGCCCGCGTACTCCTTCGGTCGCATCCTGAAGGGTCTGTCGTACTCGCGCAGCCCTGGTCCCGCCGCCTACGCCCAGAATCCCCACGTCACGAACCACGGCAACATGGACGGACCGCGGTTCACGATGAAGCCGAGGCTGCCGACCGACGCGTCGACTGTGGGTCCTGGACCCGCCAAGTACAACCCGACCGACGATCTCATCCACCCCAGGCCTCCACAGTTCCAGTTCGGTGTGCGACTGAACGACATCATGAAGAGTCAGGCTCCAGGTACTCAAGACTTCCATGTTGTCCTCGCAATCCACATCAAGGTTTGATCTCAACAAGATAAGCCACCCGATCAAGCGCATTGATAAAAAAGCGCTACTTGCTAACACAAGTAGTATGTGATAATGAACACGCCTGTCTCCTCTACGCAGCATTTGGAATGGTTTATTTTGGCTCAGTGGAAGATTTTCGTCGATTCTGCTGCTAAAGCTGAGTGTTTTTCTAATCTGTAGCTCCGAACACGTACTCCCTGCCAAGGCCGGACGTCGTGAGTACTAAGAACGCAGCTCCGAAATTCACTCTGGGACCTCGGTTGGAAGGACTAACTCCAGCGAAGGTAAGAAATGGATTCATATGTTTATAGGAAAATTTTATCTATCCTTGCTATTCAGTGATTGGTGGATTTGGCCTTAGTCTGAATACTAGTATATGTTTCGACCCCACGGTATGATCAAGAAGAAAGCAAGACAATATTGAGCTCTTTAATGAAGACTACAAAAATTCTCCTACAATCTGGTCAGCTCTGTAGGGGAAAACAGGGTTTTTCTATAGCCTTGTCCTTGTCGTCCTGTTCTCCCGTTGGTCCGTTCCACGGTGCTGTCATGGCGACGGGAAACTCGTGAATAGATTGGCTGTCAGTCCCCGGCGCGTCATTCAATGCCTGCGTGACGCGATGCGCTTGGAAGTCACGCCCTTGGTCACATGACATCGCCACCATACCGTGCTGTTCACGCCCGACCAATGACTGAGCACCAAGATGGCGGATACCTGCCATTCCGCCACACTAAATACAATCGATTTAATAATAAATTTACGACTCTATGGGTGTTGTTTCTGATCGGCCCAATTCAGCAACCAAGCTGCTAGAAGCAAAGCTATCGGCTCTATTGATTTTGTGTTTGAGTGGAGTTTCATTGGGTGAGTATTGTTGTGCCATAGAACCCTGGGCCCGCGGACTACACAATTGGATCTGCTGAAATTACAAAACCTTCAGCTCCGAAATTTTCGATTGGAGCTACGCTGCCTGGTCTATCATTGAAGAAGATGCCTGGTCCAGCCGACTACCGCCCAGAAGACGTGAGTATCACCCAGCCTTATTAGCTACCTTTTTTTGAGAACAAACGTTTGAAGTCAGAAATAATGTCTTACTTATTTGACATAAGTAACTGTTTTTTTTTTCACAATTTTTAGGTAACGTTACATCGGCCGATTGCACCCAAGTTTACAATGGGAATTTACCACAGTCCCTACAAATTTGAATATGGTGAAAAGTACAGTGAAGATCTGTGCGGATGAGTGACTACACATTAACACTCCGCAGTTTACTGTCTTTATTTGGACACTTTGTGTGTCTGGTATTTCTCTTGTATTGTTTTTCAGAAAGGTCATCGCATTAACACACACAAAACTGCTTTCAATATCAATTTGATTGGCATTGGGAGTATATGCGATTTCAGTGGACATTGCTTACCTATCCCTGCACGAATTTGTTGGTTTAATTGATGGTTCCGCGGTGGGTCAAATAGGTACCAATAAACGCATCCGGATTTTCGTTATGAAGTTGCCAGTAACAGCAACAACCGTTCTAGTTGATTTCTATTTAAGACACGTATGATATTAATTCGCAGAAATAATTTGAAGACTAAAACAAAACTGGCATTGCACAAACATTTGGACAACTCAAGTTTTGTCAAATGAACGTTTCTGCGTCAAATTACCTAATTTTTCCACATAAACTAGTGCCATTTTATCAACTCCAGTCACAGTGAACATCAACAAAATCGTAACCTGGTGCTGTAAAGCCTTGTTATGCTGGTTTCATTTGTCTATTTAACAAGCCTTTCCAGCTTCACACAATATCGGCTCGCACTTGTGCTATTTTTACATTCATTTTCTCACTCCAGACACATGCCTTCCACACCAGCGACTCCCCTTTGTCAACTCCCATTTACATTTCACGTAAATAGGTTAATAATACTTAAAAACTTGTGGCTACAATATTCAGATATTCATCTACTCTGCCACCACCGTCACCCTGAAAAGTGCTCAATTAAGCAAGCTGTGGTGTAGTTATGGACGAGATGAAGTTGCGGCCCTTGTGTGATTTACGCCATTTCCAATGAACACGCATGGACTTCATTTCAAGGATGGAGTCCTAGCACAATTTCATTTACAACGAAAGTCAGCACCTTGTCCAACCAATCACGCGGAGCCTCCCGAATTGAGGTCATCGATTCTAGCTTCGTTAAGCACCAGTTGACGGAGTAAAACCCACCAGTACAGGTGCTTAAGACCACTATTATCAAGAACTTGTCTTGAATCCTGTTTATTCAACACCCTAGTCCGGTCGCTCCACCTCCTACACAGGGTTCCCCTTGTCGCAGCATGTCACCAGCCGCTCGAATCCTCAACTTCCCCCTTCGTTAGCACGAATATTTATTTTGGAGTGTCCCCACACACAGGTCTCGATGCTAGCGCATGTATGACTCACACATTCGAGCTAGAAATACACACGTGCAAACACCACACACGACACAACGACGCCGACGTGGTTGACCTCTAAAGTAAACGCTTGTGTCCGTCGTCTCCGGACTTTTCCTTCATCTCGGGTATCAGGGAAACGTAGTCGGGCCAGGGTTAATTCCGTGGCCCCAGCGTGGTTCAAGACCGCATGCTGGGGCCCACAACAAACTAATAGATAATATTAGCTGAAAATAAGGCTGTGATGAACACCTTCAAGTGGTTTGATCCTGTAAAGCCGTCTGTCGGCGGAACCCAAACTTGAATCATTCTACCACGCTCAGCAACATCGCCGTGAGTTTGTTTCACCTCCGAAAGGCGATTTGTCGCGTGCAACGAATGCGAGACCGGATCAAGATTTGTCACCTAACCATAACTTGGAAGAATGTTGACCGGATATGAATCATTGCTGCTCAAGCCTGCTTGGAGCAAAACCATCACAGTTCTAAGATTTCTTAGAATGAACACGCCGGAAAGACAAAGAGAAAGACAGCTTCGCCACCGAAAAATTAGCCATTATTGCCTAATTTCTCAAAGCCAACTTACTATTATCAATCAGAAACTAAATTGCCGACTTTTGGGTTATATGAAGCTAATCTGCCATCCGGTGTGCACCAATCCTTCGAAACAACTTTCAAAACTGTCTATTCAAAGAAGAGTAAACTTGGAAACACATAATTTTAAAATGTCACATTAAACAATATCGGCCAAGTTGAAGCCGTTAACGTCAAAATGATGCTGTTGGAGGGTTAGATGAGTTAAAGGATTGTTTAAAAAAATGCTGCTAGTAGATTTGGATGCCACTCAATTGACAGCATAAAGTACTTGCGCAGAAAAGTGCCTTATACGAGTGTTGTCACAACGTTTGGCATCCAAATTGGGTTTGCCTTTTGTTGCCGTGTTCCCTCATCCCATGCGCGCATAAGGGTATTTTGACAGAGTTGGCGCACGAGATGCTGCCATTGTCCATGGCTGTGGGCTGCATTTCAACCTGCCTGACTTCAAAACATCTTCCTCAATGGTTTTCCTAGTATCTGCAGTCGCCGTTGCATCCAACATGAAGGTGTCAGAGGCAGATACAGTTCCTCTATTCCAATCTTCATGCAAATTAAAGCTGTTGTTGAGAAAGTGGTCCAAGTCGTCCAGGCCAATGGCGATTCCACGGAATATTAACTAGAGTAAATAAACTACACAAATTTTGCCATTCTGCTACCTCATGATACCCCTCTTTCGTGCAGTTCTTCAACTCAGTCAATCCGGCTGCTGATAGGCCCGTTGTGAAGCCGCAATGGCAAACAGCATGTTCACAAAGCCAACTGCCACGTCCACTGTGACGTCCCACCTGAAAATATGCCAACTGGCTCCATCCAACCGTTCTGCAGAACATCGTCAAGTAAAATGAAAGGAACATTCGCATTAATCGAGATCAGAGCAAAGCTCGGCTAAATCAGTTCAGGTTCTTCGCCCTCGAAGGTCACATCACTTGAAACTGCGTTCATCTGCCACACGAGTGGACTCCCTCACATCACTTCTGAGAATTCACTCTTTGGCAAATGCGTTGGGGTAAAGTGGATCAGTGAATAACATGAAAACGAAATTTTTATCAATATAACACACGCAACAATTTGTGTTAACTGACGAGAGACGTGTTTGACATCAGTGAAAGTGATGAGCCAGTGTAAATGCGTGGCATTAGTAATGTCCGTGGTTAATTCGCAAGACGCAGCACATCAGAGATGATAGTGACGTCTACACACCATTGTATTCCTGCAAATTAAGTTCAAACAAAATTGAACTTAGTCTCACTGAATGTGTTGAGGCAAGTGCATATCGAATGTACGCAGAACTAACTATTTTCTTCGTTTTACTTAGGGTTCACAGTGGTGAGTGGTGCAAACCCTGCCTTTGGTTGAACTAACTGACGAGTGCAAGAAGAGCAGTTAAATTCCTAACCACTTAATACATTTATGTTGCAGGTCAATCCCACACACACACACACACAGCGATCATGCAATCCACTCAGTCCAATTCAGATATCTAGCCCCGTTCTGCAGTTTGATGCACAGGAGCTCAGAATTTAATGACCGCTTTTACATCACTAACAGCAGGCCCTGCACAAGCGACGAAATGCAATTTCCAGCAAACGGTAATTACACCAACCCCGAGAGAATTCTGACTCTTTTCAAGACTTCTGTTGATGCATAATGCTCCACCAGATCATTAAACACAATTAAGAAGTGACATTAAATTGCTGTGCTTCACAACTGTTTTTCAATTATCGTAATTCATTTGCCACAAAACAGTCTGTAAGGCTCAGTTCGACTCTGTCAGCGCGTAACTCGCACGCATAAGACCGTGGGTGTAATGAATGTGAGATGATCCTTCCTTGCCAATTAACACTGCTATTTTCAACAATGTGAAACGACTTGACTGAAGAGTGGCAAATTGGCCTAGAAAAACATTTCTCAATTGCACTAGTTATACGTCCTATAACGTTTGCCAGGGCAATGTTGGCATTGTCTTCGACTGCATTCTCAGAGCCTAAATTGGATTTGAGGAAAAGCTGAGATCATAAAATAATTAGGCCTGATCAAATAGCACACATCGACCAAAATTATGATTTGCACGAACCAACACCATCGACGACTCTTTCAAAGGAGCAGACTAGCAGATAAAAGAGGAGAATCGAGTGAAGTAGCATCTGGTCAACGTTGAATTGCAAATCGTTGTGAACATGGTGGGCACAAATATGCACTTATTCATCTTCTGTTAATTGTAGGACACGTCGGTTAACGAGTGCAGCTTGTCTCCAATTCGATTCATTTTGCATGTGGCAAGCATCACTTGACCTCAGCAATGCACAATTGTCTGCACAAGTCAGAGACCTGTTGACAAGAAGCCAGATGTTAAGAAACCATAGACGGGGTTAATTTATTAGAGACGAATTGTCGTAACCAATATAAATGACCACTAGTAAAAAGAGGCTCTTGAAACGAGCATTAATAGTACAAGTAACTTGCATTACTTGACTTCAAGGCCGGCGTTTGTCATTAGTCTGCTCAATTTTGGTACTTGTATACTCTGCATCACGTACTCCAGCATATGTTGCGTGACCTGCACCAAACCTAGTTGGAACAACGGAAAAAATGGCGTTAGGAAGTGAGCGATTTCAAAATGATGTGGAAAACCACTGATATCACCTGCTATGAAATGTAGAAGAAGGTCGCCAATTGGAGAATATTATCTGAACATGCAAAGATCTATTGTAAACATCAATGAAGCAGTGCGAAAAGTCACACAAGCAGAAAATGCACAATGAGTTCATTCCAGACTAATGAGTTCAAGTTCTCGTTGACCTACTTGCTTGACTGTCTGATCACATGTAAACGTGGCAGGTGAAATGTTGGCTGGTTCATAAAACTCCAATTTATAAAAGTCTCCATCTTCAGCGATAACTTACATTTTAGCACGTAGGATAAATATCTGTTACATGGTAAATGCTGTTTCCATGATTCGTTGATTCTGCAGTATTCAAAATCTTCGTGAAATTACTCAATATATTGTTCGAATGTGAACTCCCAAATGTAAATTGGTGCGTAAAAGCATGGCATTGTGGTTTTGAAGCCGAGGTACAGTGGTCCAAATGAACATGCAGACTGCGTTGATTTGATACTGGTTGTGGCTAGTTGTAAATAAGACATCGTTTGTGGTGATGGCATTACGACAAACGAACGGAATGTTACATTGCAGCTATATAGATTATAGATTGATTCATG